GAACAAATAATACAGAGATGAATTTTTGCCTTTTTACAGAGTATTCCTAAAATGAATTATCGGTTTCTGGAGGTGAAGACTCCATTTACTGGAGGTATACAAACAGGTCCAAGACAACCATTTTTCAGAGTTAGTAATGATTCAAGAACCTAGTTATCAAAGACTGTGGCTGAGGAATGCTGGAGTTAAATGAGAAAACTTCTAAGTACCCTTCCAATTTTGAGATCCCATGGTTCCTTTTGTATCTTCAGTGGACTTTTCATCTTCCTCTCTGGTCTTTGACCATCTAGTCCATTAGTGAGAGAAAGCAAATACCAAAGCAAGTCATATTTCCTGGGTTTGAGTTCTGTCTCTGGGATATACCAGTTGTATGACCTTAAGCAAATTATTTACCTTCTGTGCCTTGGTTTATTTATAAAATTGTGATGCTGATAATAATGAGATGCTTAAAGTACTTTAGGATAGTGGTTGGTACAATGTGAGCAATCAAGTTTTAGCTGATGATKATTATTATTATTATTATTAWTATTCTCTCTCCCTGTCAGATACTTCTATTTATAAAACTATTCTTCCCTGTCTTTTCAGATAGTCCACTCTGTTAATACATCTTTTGTGACTATCACTCAGGGTGCTGAGATAATAAACTCAGCTTAAAAAAAATAGCTTAAATGATAAGGTTTATCACCTCATATATCAAGAGTTGCAGAGATAGGAAGGATCTAGGTCGACTAATTTAGTGTCTGCATCATAGAATTAAGAAAGTAGGCTTGGGGCTGGAGCTGGAGCTCAGTGGCAGAGTGCTTGCCTAGCACATTTGAGGCACTAGGTTCAATCCTTGATACCACGTAAAAATAAATAAAATATAGGCATGCTCCATCTACCAAAACAAAACAAAAATATGTAGACTTATTTCTTCTGCTTTCTCATCCCCCATTTGTTGGCAGCTGTCATAGTCCCAGCATCATTTGCACCCAAGATCACCATCAGCAGAGGATGCCTTTTTTTTTTTAAGGTTTTTTTAAAAAAAACTTTAAATATAGTGGGAAGCCTTTCTAGGAAGCTTTTCCTTGAAGCCGCCCACCCAGCAAAGTCCCCTCATGTCTCGCTAGTGATGATTGAGTCACTTGTTCCTTCTAAAACCAGCCACAAAAAGGAAACAGAATTATCATAATTGGTTCATATAATTAAGCTTTGTCCCCCAAGGCTCTAGGGTAAGGTCACCTTCCCTGATCATGTGTCCACAGAAGAAGGCAAACACCAAAAGAAATATGGAGCTAGGTTGAGTGCAGTGGTGCACACTTGTAATTCCAGAAACTTGGGAGGCTGAGAAAGGAGGATTATAAATTCAAGGCCAGGGGCTGGCACTATAGCTCAGTGACAAAGTGCTTGCCTAGCATGTGTGAGGCTCTGGGTTCTATCCTCAGCACCACATAAAAATAAATAAAATAAAGATCCATCAACAACTTAAAATTTGTTTTAAATAAATAAATAAAGGTTTCAGTCCATCTATAACTACCAAAAAAAATTTAAATAAATAAATAAATTCAAGTGCAGCCTCAGCAACATAGTGAGACCTTGTCTCAGTAAAAAATAAAAAAGGATGAGGATGTAGCTATGTAGCCAGGTGTGGTGATACACAACTGTAATCTTAACAACTTGCTAGGCTGAGGCAAGAGGATCACAAGTTCCAGGCCAGCCTCAGCAATTTAGACCTATCACAAAGTAAAATAAAATGTGCTGGGAATAGAGCTCAGGGGCAGAGGGCCTTTGGGTTCAATCCTCAGTACAAAAAAAAAAAAAAAAAAAAAAAAAAAAGAAAGAAAGAAAGAAAGAAAGAAAAAGAATCTAAAACAAATTTTCCTATATCTTCAACGAATGAAGGAAACTATATGGATCCTTAAAACTTGAGTTTGAATATGTAACCATATTCTACAGGCGGCTGTTATGAAAGATCATTTATCTATTTGCTTTCCTAGTTTTTTTGGCTGAGAAACAGTGCTTGGACACCAAAATTATTTCTGGTGTTCATGTAATGATCCTTTCCTGGCCAACAGGTGAAGAAGAGCTACAAAGTTGTCATTCTGATTTTGTATTTAGTTCCATCCTAGAAAAAGAAGTAGTCAGCTGCTTTACATTTTTCCATATCACCTTCTTTTTCTGACAGAGAAATTTGTTTGAGGCTAATTTAAACCTGGAAAGGAAAAATGTTGAGGGTCTATCATGTGGTATTAAAAAAGTAAACCTAATTTGTGAGATTTAAAAAAACTGATTTAGGATCAAGATTGAAGCAGCTGATAACTTACTGAAGGGAGCAACTATATAACAGATGGGACTATTTCAGAAATAGGAACATGATTCTGACCCAAGAGTTTTCTAGGAGAGGTTATTAGGCCTCTCAGGAAGTTGCAGAAAAGAGCTCTTCTTTGTAGAATAGGGGGAGATTGCATAAGGTCATATCTAAGAGTTCTTCTAATTGTTATCTTTACCAATGTTTCCTAGCTCTAGAGGTGGCAAGGCGTATGCTGAGTTTTACTGGTATTCCAAACTAAAGAGAATTGAGGCATGATTTMTCTTTTAGGATAGGAGGATGGTAGTAAATAAACCCATTCATCATCCATACATATTGGTTGTCCACTGTACAACCAATAATCAAAAAAAGCTGTAGGTTATAACTTTTTAGATGCCTATAGCTGTTGAATTAATTAATATTGACCTCTTTCTCTCTCTGTTTTCTTGCCTTTTTTTTTTTGTTTGTTTTTTTTTGGAGACAGGCTCTTGCTATGTTGCCTAGACTAGTCTTAAACTCCTAGGCTCAGGTGATTCTCCCCCTCAGCCTCTTAGTGCTGGGACTATAAGAGCATACTCTTCTATGAAACGTTTTCTTTTTTCATTTTGGTACTGGGGATTGAATCCAGAGGTGTTCTACCAGTAAGCTATATTCCAGCTCTTTTTAAATTTTGAGATAGGGTCTTGCTAAGCTGCCTAGGTTGACCTTGAACTTTTCAATCTCCTGCCTCCTTCTCCCAAGTTGCTGCAATTACAGGTGTGCACCACTGTACCTGGCATGAGCCATTTTTTTTTTAGTCAGTTTCTTCCAATATTTCTTATCTTTAAATTCAGCTTTATTACTTTATGTTGCATGAATGACTCTCTGCTCCATTTAAAGAGAAGTTTTCTAAACCTATGCAAACTTAAGACTCCAAATAGCTTCTCAGGAGCTGCCACAAGATGGACAAAATAGTAATCTTGCAGACTGTCTTACTTGTGTTGGATGAGGCTATCTGTACTTCTTAAGGGAAGTCTTTTTTTTTATGGCTTTTTTTTTTTTTTTAGAGAGAGAGAAAGAGAGAATTTTAATATTTATTTTTCAGTTTTYGGTGGACACAACATCTTTGTTTGTATGTGGTRCTGAGGATCGAACCCGGGCCGCACGCATGCCAGGCGAGCGCGCTACCACTTGAGCCACATCCCCAGCCCATTAAGGGAAGTCTTAACCTTTAAACTTATTTGAAGGTCAGAAATATGTCTGACAATTTTTTTTGAAATATTGCTAACTGTTTCTAGAGCCATACTAGGAATATATATGACATCTGGGAGGGTTTACAGTTTTATCTTAAAGGAGGGAAAGAACTATTTAAGATTAAAGTATAGTCAGTAACCTATGTAAGGAGAAACTTCTACCAAACCTCTTGTTGTAACTAAGCATATTTGATTTTACCAGTTGAAGACGTGAATCTGTGAAAGCATGTATAGAACATCAACTTCTGTTTCTTAATGTATGTTTAGAGAACCACTGGCTTCATTACAGCATTTCCCAAGTAGTGAAAATGATAAAGAGTGGCTACTCCTGCACGGTAGATACAGGAGTATCTGTATTATTGGGAGATGGTAGAGTGACTGAACCCAAATAACAGATAGAAATGAAGATACTACTCTCCTTCAGGAAGAGACCCAATCTTTCTGAAGGACAAATAGCTACAAAGTTCTCTTCTTTGCTTTTTTAGCTTGCTTAAGATAAAGAATTTAAGATCTTGTAACCATTGTCTGTTTTTGTTGCTTTTTTTAATGGGGAGTAGCTTGAAGTTTGTGACAATGTTGTGGTTTTTGGTAGCTATGAAAGATCTCCCTTGGGAAAGTGTTTCTCTTTAGTGGTGAATCGAGCTTTATGATATATTTTTATTCTTTCTGGAGAATCTAGTGACTTCAGTGATTGAGCTGAAAATGTAATCAGACTTCTATAGGGAACAAGGGAGGACAAATGAAATGCTAAGAGGATTTCTACTAATTTGCTTTTGAACTTAATGCTGGTAAACTTCAAAATAATTATACTGAGTCAAAAAGTTTAGACTTTGTATGATTCCATTTATATAAAATTCTAGAAAATGCATGGGGCTGGCCTGTTCATCAGTGATAAGAGAGTGTGGCGAGACCCTATGTTCAAGTTCTCTCCCTGCCTCCTCCCCCCAAAAAAATCTTGAAAATTCAGATTAGTCTATAGTGACAGAAAACAGATCAGTGGTTCACCAGAGGTGGTGAGAAGAAGGGAGAGATTATGAAGGAGCATGAGGAAAGTTGGCTGTGATGGATATACTATTTCAAATATAGCGGTAGTTTCACAGGTGTTTATATATAACTCATCAAATTGTACATTTTAAATCATTTTAAGTCAATCAGCTTATTATTAAGTCAGTTTTACCTTAATAAATTTAGAAAAAAAATTAATTCAGAGCAGCATTTATCAAAGGACTCCTTTCTGGATTATAGAGGAGACTACTGGGGGGATGTGTGTGTGTGTGTGTGTGTGTGTGTGTGTGTGTGTGTGTTATGTATATACACGTGTGTATATATATGTGTATATGTATGTATTGATAATATATTCTAATTATATGTATATATTTATAAAAATATATATGTGTATACACACATGAGAAATACAAGTCTTAGGTGTATGTTAAATATAGAGACACACCTCCTGTTTAATACCTTTGATGTTTCTTTAGGAGTCCATAGAGGCTACTGTGTTCTGTTGAAGAACATGTCTGACAGTAACACTAGTCAAGAGACCCTGGAAATAATGAAAGAATCAGAAAAAAAACTGGTGGAGGAATCTGTAAGCAAAAACAAGTTTATATCTAAGACTCCAAGTAAGGAAGAAGTTGAGAAAGAAGGTGAAGATACCAGTTTGCGACAGGAGACACAGGTAAGGATTAGAAGCATTGTATACACTCTTTTTAATATTTGAATAGAAGTGAGAATCTGTAAGAATCTAGCCACCAATATCAACACTTGATGCTTCTTAAGAATCCCAACCTGAAGCCAGGCACAGTGGTATATGCCAGTAATCTCAGCTTCTAGGGAAGCCAAGGCAGGAAAATCTCAAATTTGAGGCTAACGTCAGACCCTGCTATCTCAGAAATAAGAAGGGCTGGAGATGTAGCTCAGTGGTGAATTACCCTTCAATTAATCCCTATATGGAGAGGGGGTTACTTTATGTTGGGGCAGGGGCTTGTTCTCTCAAGAAATCTCTCCCTGCTAGGCATGGTGGTGCACAGCTGTAATCCCAATGACTGGGGCCACTGAGACAGGAGGATTGCAAGTTCAAAGCCAGCCTTAGCAACTTGGCAAGGCCCTAAGCAACTTAGTGAGACCCTGTCTCAAAATAAAAAAAATAAAAAGGGCTGGGGATGAAGTTCAGTGGTAAAGTGCCCACAGGTTCAATCCCCAATACTTAAAAAGAAAACAGAAAAGAAACATCTCCCTGATGGCATGTTCCTGTAATCAGGAGACTTGCAAGTTTGAGGCCTGCCACAACAACTTACCAAGGTGCTAAGCAACTTAATGAGACCCTTTCTCAAAATAAAAAATGGACTGGGGATGTAGTTCAGTGGTAAAGTGCCCAAGGGTTCAATCCCCGAAAGAAAGGGAGAGAGGGAGAAAGAGAGAAAAAAAGAAAGGACAAAATGAAATCCCTAATACATTCAATAGTTCTTGCTACATTTGCTGCATTTTTATATTTTTTAACTATCAAAAAATAAACTGTGGCCTGGGGTTGTAGCTCAGTGGTAGAGCGCGTTGCCTAGCATGTATGAGACACTGGGTTTGATTCTCAGCACGCATATAAATAAATGAATTTTAAAAATCTATCAACAACTAAAAATATATATAAAAATTTTAAAAAATAAACTGTATACAAACATATTTAACAAGTCATAACATGGCTCATAGAATAAATTCTTAAAACTAGAGCTGCTTGTCTTCACACACAGTATTAAATTCATATCCTGGCTGTGTTAAAACAGTCAGCATTTTCTGGGTCAGAAATAGTCTCTGAACTTGCCACTTGGTGAATGAGTGAGAGGAATTTCATCCTTTGGTTCTTACGTTTTTCATCCAAATCCATATTCAATGCAGAATTACACATAGTAGATAGTTGGCCAAGCTTCTTCCAGTGTTCTTTTTTGGTATCCAGCTAACTGGATTCTGAGCCTCCTCTACCCTATCTATTACAGCTCTCCTTTCCATCTATGGTCACTGCTGGTTTCTTCCATAATTCAAGACTAATCTCTAAATCCTTTCATTGATGCCCAAGCCTGAGATTGGCCTTTGTTATAAGCCTAGGAGATAGAACATTAACTCTAGCAGGAGCAATAGCATTTTGGAGTGTCTGGAAATTTGAAACATAATTTTTCAAGACAACTTAATTGACCTAGCCTTGTCCTCTTTAAAGATGAAAACAGCTACAACATAAAGGGATGAATTAAAATCAGACAGCTCTCTGAGATATTTTGTTCTCTAGTCTACCTATTTTCTTACTGTCTTTCTGCTTAAAACTTACCAGATCTCCATCCTGGCAGCTTTTCTCTCCATTATCTTTTACATGTGACTTGTTATTCCCCACCCATCCTCCCAAAGTTTGTGTAGACAATTTGCTACTGTTCAACTTTACTTCCAGCCTCCACCAATATCAATAATGAATTTTAAATACTCAGAACATATAAATGAATATTTAATTATGTACTGTCATATTACATGGAAGATAACAATTAAATGAACTTTTAGTACAACTTACTCTATTCTGAGGAGACTATTATGAATGATGTTCTGAACTCCAGTTGTATACACTTTTTGAAAATAGGCAGTAAAGAAAGGACATCTGTTGGTTTTATATTCTTTATGAGCACCTGTTTACTGTGGAAATGTCTTCACCTGCATATAAAAACAGTCATAAATGGGGATCAAAAGGACCTGCCACCTTTCTAATTTGATTTCTTTTGCTGCCTCTAACTAAAGCAGGTGGAGAGGCTGCTGCCATCTACTGGAGTTTGTTTCTTTTGCAAAAATTTTAATCTTGTGTGCCACAGTGTATCATATGGAGGAGTCCCTTAGGAAGCCCCCTCCTCTCTACCATTTCCCAACAGAACCCAAACCCCTTCAGCAGCACTAAAAATTCTGCTCCTTCTGTATTCCCTCTGCTTGTACCCTGACAGTCTCCCCAAGAATCTAACTGGTGCTGTCAAGGAAGTCTATGTTTTGAGGTGGAGCTGAAAATTTTTGAGGAAAGGGGACTGCATTACTAATATTGTGAGATATATTTTGGGAATCAGCAGTTGGAACTCACAGTATCTTTTGCATGGATACAGTGCTGCAAAATTCAGGTTCTGAAATTCTGTTTATAATGGGCAAGACTTCAGGTAACACATATTGAACTTAGGTATATCCTATAAATAACCAGCTTGGTGTGGCCTCCTTGTTGGGCTTTCTGACTTTAAACTTGTAATCCCTCTGATTCATCTACCTTGCTGCTTTAGAAAGATGGTCATGAAATGARAAACTGAATTTTTAAATTCTCTTCAAGTTTTCTGTGTGTCTTATTGCCATAGGCTAGGTCCCAGATTTCCCAGCATGGTAAATTGTGACCTAGTCCCTTATCTGCCAACCATCACCTCTGGCATTCTATGTTTTAGTATGATTTGATTCCTTGGTCCCTTATAAAAGGAAGCTGAAGTTTGGGGAAAGCTTGCTTTTGTATATGCCTTCTCTTCCCAGTATCCCCTCCTTAATGTTCTTTCCCTGAGCTCCTTCAACTTCTGAACCCTCTTCCAACATCTAATACCTATTTACCTCTCAAAACTCAATCCAGATACGTCTTTTTTTCAAGAGGTCCTCCTTGACAACCTTACTCACCCACTGAAGGTCTATATTATATAATTCTTATTATTAATGTCTTGTCTTCCTCACTGAATTATAGGCTCCGTTAAGCCCAGGTTTTGGTCATTTAGGCTTATGATTATATTCCTAAGTTCTAACACAGTGCCTTACAGGCACTCAGTACTTAATATATGAACTTATATGTTGCTAGGTCTGAGTTAGATGACTTCATTATGTGCTTCTGTCAAACTTTGTGAGTACCTCTGTAACACACTTAATGTACTATACTGTAATTGTCTATTTATCTGTCTTCTCCAACAGGATTATGAGTTCCTTTGAAAAGGTTTGTCTTTTATCTCCATATCCTCTAGTAGCAATCATAGTACCTGCTACATGTTAGGCTTTTAGTATGTCTTTGGCTGTTTAATGAAAATTACCCATTCTGGGAAATAAGCAGATCCATATATCGTTAGTAGCGGTATAAATTTATACAACACTTTGAAGGTTAATTTAGCAATATTTTATAAAAATGTTAGTGGATTACAGATATACTGTTTATAGATAAACTTAATGATGTGGTTGTTTATATTAGCAAAAGGTCATAAATGTCCTAAATGGTACAATTTAAGGACTGGTAAAATTAGTTATGTTATAGCCATACAGTGAAATACTGTATAGCAATTAAGAAAGACAGAGTAGATCTTCTGCATTATGCTATCCATTAAAAAAAAAAATGAAAAAAAGAAAAAAGTTTAACAGCAAAGTTTAGAGAATAATGTGTACAATAATAGTGTGTACATGGTTTTAAAAAAATACCTGTGTACACGAGTACAATAAACTTACATATGCATAAAAAATGTCTCTGGGTGGATCTAAAAGAATTTCAATACTGGTTAATCCTTTAGGAGGGAACCAGCTGTCAGGGGGACAGATGTAAAAGATTTACTGTTCATTATATAACTCCATTATGCCTTTTAAATGTTTGTGATGTGTATATGTATTATTTATTTGAAAAAGTAGTGATAAATGCTGCTTCATATTTCTGGACTGTGAATCTTCCCTTGCTGTAACAGGTCTTGGCATTGACCAGCTCCATCATTTCTTACTCTTTCCATCTACCTTCCCAGTTCTCCATTTTGCATTGTGGCAGTGTTGTTTGCTAACTAGTGAAGAGGACCAAGGAAAGAAAAATCCTCACCTACCCAAGACCATGCTGGTATTCTGCCTCTGACTTATTTCCCCTTCCCCACCCTACAGCCTCAGTTGGACATTCCAACCCCTTCCCCAAAAGGGTGGGGTAATATTTAGAACAAATATCTATGCAAATTATATATAGGCAGAGTTTTCTTGCTTGCACTTTATACCCTAATCATACACATTTTGATATCTCAGATGTTTAGAAATCCTATGAGTTTATTTGCTGTTCCCTCCTCCTACCTTAAGCCTCATCCTTCATCTTACGTGGCTTCTACCCTGTTCCTTACCCACTCTTTCTTCCCTTTGCTTGGGAGATCTTATCCCTTTCTTCCATGCCTCTTCCTTTTTATCCTCTCCCCTCTCATATCTCTGACCCAGACAAGCTAGCTATGAGATTCACCACCAGGAGCTTAAAACTGGGAGAATTTTCATATTCAAGTATGGAGGCATATGGGAAGAAGACTTTTCATTCCATTTTTGCAGTGATTTATAGAGACAGGTATTTTGGGTATCTCAAGTTGGAACTCTGATGTTCGAACATCTGTCTCATAGGATGTTATTATAAATCATAGTTAAGGGACCACATTTTATATCCATTATAAATTAAATAGGCTTCTGTATGCAAACTTGGAGTAAAAAAAAATATTTCATGCTGTGATAGTAACATTTTCAGAAGCATTTTAATCAGGAGAGAATTCCATGGTTTGTCCAAAAGTATTTTCAGTCTATGAAAAAGGCCAGCAAATCAATTGTTCCTTTTCTTTATCTTCATGGTAAATGGTGATTTGACTGGTATGAAGTCAGTTATGGTAAATGATGATTTGACTGGTTTGAATGATCTGAAGGCCCTTCATGTCACAGTTGCTGCAGTTGGAGTAGAGTGACACCAAGGATATTGATTTTCATCAAAATTTGGCAATTGTTATAATAGTTTTTATAGTTAGTGCTTTTATGCTGTAAGCATATATTGCTTCTAACTTCAGTATTGATTTTCCCCATCTTTAATATTTTCCAATTCCCTTTTAACAGAGGCGGACATCCAACCATGGTCATGCCAGGAAAAGAGCCAAGGTAAGACTTCTTCCTTCATTGCTTATTTTCTAATGTTATTAGTAATACATTTCACAGATGGATATATCATCAACCTCTAGTTTATTCAGATTATATGTTGGCCAAGTTTTCTTGTTTGCACTTTCTACCCTAATTATGAATTTGCATCATACACACAGTTGCATGCACACACACACACACACACACATATATTTCCTAGTGGAAGGTCTTCTTCATTTTTCTCCATTACCTCTAATTCAATCATAATCTATTTCTGATGCCTGAAAGGACACCCAGCTGGAGCCTTCTGCAGAGCCTGGGAGAATTTGGTACTGGTTGTGCTAAAATGCCAGTTTGTCTGCTCACTCTGGCTTCTTTAGGAGATTGGCTGTTTGTGTGAGTTTTGAAATTCACTTTCACATTTTTCCCCTCCATTTGAATTTTTCTTAACATAAATCCTGCCCCAATTAGTAGAAATGACTCAACATTTTCAGATATCCTAGAAATACAGACTTATTTTTTTTTAATATTTTATTTTTACATTGGGACAGAGAAGAGGATTTTGTTTTTAATCATTGTATGATAAAATCAACACACCATAGATTATTTTAAGCTGAGTTRTCAGGAAAGACTATATTATTATCTGATAGCTTTTTTAATTTAGCTGGGGAATAATAGAATATTAGACCTTCCTTATAGTGGGAAGATTGTCATCAGAGGTGCCCACCCCCTTCCTCTAGAAAACTAAAGGTAGAAAATTTGGGAGTAGCCCAGCCAATTTGTGGTTTGGGTTTGAAGAAGGTCAAGAAATTTGATAAGTAGCACTACCTCATGCATCACATGGCCTAATTACAGGGAAGGCCATGATGTTAATGTTTAGAACAGAGGATATTCACTGCTGTTTTAGGTCTGCCAAGATTTTTTGACATAAATAAGACAGTTATTATTTCCATTTTGCAATGAGGAAACTTGAGCTACAGAATTTAAGTAAACTTAACAAGGACATTCAGTAGTTAACAGCAGAAATAGCTTGAGGTTATTCTTCAGACTCACAAATTATTTTCTGGTACTCCCCTACCTGGAGTACACACACTGTTTTTGCTTTGGTATTCACTGCAAACCTTAGTTTTATCGTARGAACTCTCAGTAAATGTTTATAGCTAGATGTCTAATGAGTCACTCTATAATTTTTGGCTTCAGTGATTCCTAGGAAAGCAGTGATTTGCATAATGGATTTTAGATCTTTTTTGAGATTCAAGAGCCAGCAGAAGAAAACCAGGTGGATTAGCTTTTTATTACACTAAATCCTAAGTATTATAAAATTTCTTTGTCTTTCTCTTCATTCTTTCCTAGACACTTCTTTTCATACCCTTCCCATCTCAAGTTTAGAGTTGTTTAGCATTTATTGTCTACTGTATGCTAGGCACTATTTGATGATATGTATATTTATATATTTTATATTATCTGATTTTCACAACCTTTTTGGTATTTTTTTAGTCTGACTTTATTGAAGAAAAACAGAGAACAATTAAATTAAGTAATTTGCTCAGAGTCTTATGTCTTATAAATGCAAAAACCAAGAGTCATAACTAGGACTTTTGGCTCAAGTCCATTGTCTTTCTATAGTGCTATACTGCTGCGTATTTGCAATAAACTTTCAAGTCAAGAAATTACAGCACTGGTCTAAAGACAGAAGAGGGCTAAGGAAAGTAGGTTTCCAACCATCTGTGATTTGTTTTTACATATCTATTGTTGTAAGCAGAATTACCTTTCATTTGAACCTGGAATTGGCAAATAGGACCTATTTGGAAACTCAGAAATCAAAAACAAACAACAACAATGAAGAACCAGTAAGGAATCAACAGCTAACAGAACCAAAGAAGGAAATATACATAGCTGTTTGTTTGTTTGTTTTTCAGTCTAATTCCAAGCTGAAATTGGTACGTAGTCTGGCAGTATGTGAAGAGTCCTCCACCCCATTTGCTGATGGGCCATTAGAAACCCAGGTAGGTTGTTTAAAGAATAAGTGTAGCTTTTGAGTGCATGGCATTTGTTTGGTTTGGTGTAGCAATCACAGCATCAACATCAAGCTTGAAAATCAGGGAAAATGGCACTTTAAAAACAAAAGCTATTGGGCTGGGGTTGTAGCTCCGTGGTAAAATGCTTGCCTAGCATGTGTGAGGCACAGGGTTTGACTCTCAGCACTGCATATGAATAAATAAAATAAGGTCTGTCAACAAAAACAAAATTCTGAGTACCAGGGATTGAACTCAAAGACACTTGACTACTAAGCTACGTCCCCAGTCCAATTTTATATTTTAGGATCTCACTGAGTTGCTTTAGTGCCTCACTTTTGCTGAGCCTGGCTTTGAACTTGGAGTCCTTCTGCCTCAGCTTCCCGAGCCACTGGGATTACAGGCATGCGCACTATGCTCAGCCTAAAAAAGTACTTTTTAAAAAATAAAACAGAGGGGTTGGGATTGTGGCTCAGTAGTAGAATGCTTGCCTAGCATATGTGAGACACTGGGTTCAATCCCCAGCACTACATAAAAATTAATAAAGGTATTGTGTCCATCTACAACTAAAAAAAAAAAAAACCTTAAAAATAAATATAAAAAACCCCAGAAATTATTGAATAAGATAGGGCAGGGTGAGTGTATGATGTATAGATCATCAAGTCTTGACCATACATTTTAATACAAACAAGGAGATCCCAGAGCTGATTCTGTTTTCCCACCMGTATTCTTCCTCCAGTGGTTAAAGCATTACCGTCCAGTTTTTCTGTCAAGAACAGCTGGTGTAACTTGAGCTCTTGCTCTATAAGTAGGGTGTGACTGCTGACAGGAAAAGCTTGGGGCCTCCACTTTCTTGGTGGAACAAAAACTAAAGCAATTTAACAAAACATACTCTTCTATGAGATAAAGCTACCTCCCCAAAATTTGCCTCTATTGAGATTCTAAGCAAGTTGCAAGACAGTTAAAATCCTTATTCCTCTTTGAATATATTATTTTTTCCTCTTGTTTAAGGATATAATTCAATTGCATATCAGTTGCCCCTCTGACAAGGAGGAGGAAAAGTCCACAAAGGATGTCTCTGAAAAGGAAGACAAGGACAAAAACAAAGAAAAGGTCCCAAGGAAGATGCTCTCTAGAGGTGAGGACTTTCCCTCTCATCTGTCTTAATGCCTGGCTCTGTAGTATACGTTCCTCTCATCCTGAAACCTGGTACCCACTGGCCTTACTAGCCAAACACTTGTAGTCTGTAGTGTCCTGCTAACTTGATTGCTTGGGAAGATACCTAACTAGTTTACTTTCTTTGGTTTAGGGCTCACATGCCCCCAGAGAGCTACTTTGTCTGCATTGGTACTACCCAGGGGAGGACAGTGTAGTCAATTCTGATTTATTTGTGCTATGAAATAAATGGTGACATGGATAATCAGACTCTCCAGATAACATATATATTTTGGTTTGGGATGGCTGGAATAATAATTTTTTWAAATTTTAATGCAGACCTGCTCCCTTTTTGGGAGGCGGGGGTACTTTACCACTGAGTTACATCCCCAGCCTGTTTAATTTGGGAGTTTTTTTGTTTGTTTGTTTTTTAGTACCAGGGATTAAACTCAGGAATACTCAACCACTAAGCCACATCCCCAGCCCTATTTTGTATTGTATTTTATTGCTTAGTACCTCGAAGTTGCTGAGACTGGCTTTGAACTCACAATTCTCCCCTCAGTCTCCCAAGCCACTGAGATTATAGGCATGTGTCACTGTGCCCAGATAATTTTTTTGTTTTGAGACAGGGTCTCAATAAGTTGCTTAGGGGACTGGGGTTGTGGTTCAGTGGTACTTGCCTAGCACACGTGAGGCACTGGATTCAATCCTTAGCACCACATAAAAAAAAATAAATAAATAAACAAAATAAAAGTATTTTGTTCATCTATAACTAAATAATAATAATAATAAGTTGGTTAGGGCCCCTCTAAGTCGATGAGACTGGCCTTGAACTTGTGATCCTCTAGCCTCAGCCTCTAAATTGCAGGGATTACATGTGTGCACCACTGCAYCCAGGTGGCTTTAAACTTTTGAACTGGTAGCAAAAAGACATATTCCGTAAAAGTGATAGTTGACAAGAAAAGGCAACCTTAGGATTAAAAATAGTCAATATTTGGGCATATTTGTATTTAGATTCTGCAAAATTCAGTCTTGACTGCTCCCTTATCTGGAATTTATTTGCTATAGCTAAAATAAAACATACTGTATTTTAATCAGGATATTCAGTAAATACACTTACCTTTCAGTAATGATAAGTGGCATTTTAGTATAATTTTGATGCAACACTATGGCCCAGATTTTTCCTTTTGTGAAGGGGACTTTTGGAGGGCTACCACTCAAGGTCATTCTGGATTTAATGCTGAAACCCTAAAGTTTGATTCTGCTTTCCTATTCTTATCTTCTCAGTCAGGTTGTGGGTTTTACTTGGGATTAGGTACCATACAAGGCAATTTCATGTACTTTAATTTCTTTTGTTGTTGTGCTTCTAGACTCCAGCCAAGAATATACAGACTCCACTGGAATAGACCTACATGAATTTCTTGTAAATACACTGAAAAAGAACCCAAGGTAATAACATGATTGGTTTAAGAGAGAAAGGGAATAGGAGGCAAGAGGCCGAGCAACTTCCCAGAATTTTTCCATTATGAATCTTGGATGTCCATCCCCTCCCTGAGTGTTTCTCAAGTATAGTTTTATATTCTGTGAGGGATTCAGAATACCCTCACATTGAAGTTTCTGCTTTTGGAAGAGTTAAAAAATTCTGTGGAAAAGAATGTAGAGTCAAAGAAATATGAAGATTTGGGAGCACAGTGATTAAAAAGCACGAAGAAAAAGATAATTGATTTGTACATAAGCTAAATCATCGATCATTGCTTTAAAAGACTGAATAACCAGAAAGGATGTAGAATAAATAGATTTATAAGTATAAAGTATGTGTTTATATGAATATATTGCTAACAATTAGCTTTCTGATATGGATAGCAAAGCATATGATTAGGAGGARGTCTAAAAAAATGTATATTTGGGTTTTCTCTTTCAAAATATCGAAGTACGGGGGCTGGGGCTGTAGCTCACATGTGAGGCAATGGGTTTGATCCTCAGTACCACATAAAAATAAATAAATAAAGATATTATGTCCATCTACAACTAAAAACAATATCAAAGTGCAGGCTAGTGAGACACAGCAGCCTCTGCATTACAGTCCATTGGAGTTTGGATATATCCCTCCCTTTAGCTTCTGTAGTGAACAAGTTATTTTCAATTCCTGCTTTCAATGTCTATGGGAGGGCTGTGTTTTGTTTTGTTTTGTTTTAATCTTTTTTAAACAGGGACAGAATGATGCTGCTAAAATTAGAACAGGAGATTCTGGAATTTATTAATGACAACAAGTAAGTTACTTGTATGAAATATACACTTAGAGGTGGGAGGGGGCACTGGAAAGAAATTTAGACACAATTTTCTCTTTTGTCTTTCCCTCAAAGTGAGAATTTTGAAGTAATTTGTCACTGGGAAACAAAAGAAATTAAGAGAGCAATCAGAATGGATTAAAAGTATATGTATAGGGGAAAAAAGAATCCACTGTATGGGTAGATCACATTTTTTAAATCCTTCATCAGTTAATCAAAATACATAATTTTTTTTTTACTTTTTGGTTATTATGAGTAATGCTACAATTAACATTTGTGTGGATTCATGTTTACAATTTCTTTAAATATATATCTGGAGTGGAATTGCTGGGTTATAYGGTAATTTTAGTTTAACTTTTGTGGAATTCCCAAAGAGTTTTATGAAGCACTGTGCCATTTTAAATCCCTACCAGTAAAGTATGAAGGTTTCAACTTCTCCACATCCTTGCCAACACTAATTATTGTTGTGATTATTATAGTCAACCAATTATTTATTCTTAAATAAAAATATCTAATTAACCTTATAAAAAAGTATATGTATGAAAACAGAGGTTTTTAAGTTGTTGCATAGACATACATTGAGAAAGAATTAATGTCTTTTTCAGCAACTAGGCCCTGTCCTGGAATTTGTATTCTTAAGTTTCCCTTTTTCCTTTGTCAAACTTCGTCCAAGTGGGTGGGACCAAGGCCTTAAGAAGTAGTCTTAGGATAGTAGGTAGATCAGAATAATTACAAAACTCTAGAGAGAAATCTTTTTGGTTTCCACTGAGTAAATATGTATCATCTTTATAATATGTCTGTTTTTCTAAGAAATGCTCTTCTTTAGACAGTGGTAAGAAAAATTACAGTTAGCTACTGTTACTATTATATATCTTATTTCACTTTTCCCCCTGGGTTTCCCTTCAGTAACCAGTTCAAGAAGTTCCCTCAGATGACCTCATATCACCGGATGCTATTACACCGGGTAGCTGCCTATTTTGGAATGGACCACAATGTTGATCAAACTGGGAAAGCTGTTATCATCAACAAAACCAGCAACACAAGAATGTAAGGGAGAAAACTATGGAGTGGGTAGACTTTCCTGGGATAACCTGCTAGGGTAGAAGAAGAAGGTATAGGATCAAGATGACTCTTCTGTGAGGGGTTGGGGGGATGGGCGGTTATATTACCGGTTTCTTTTTACAAAGCGTTAGAGACATATTTTAGAGGCACTGATATTTCTTGAAGATTGGCCCTAGCTCTTCTTCACCTTCATTGATAGGACCATACAACTTTGAAGGAAGAGAAGTTATAGGTGTATAAAGAACAGAGGAGTTCAATAAAACATCTATTTGACTTTTTGGATGTCTGACTTCAGAAATTACCTATAGGGATTGTGGAACGTAGTAGAGCTATACCTAGGAGGTCTTCTTTCTAACAAAGGGGTCTTTTTTCCTCCCATCTTTCACAATTCTTTCCAAATCCCAGCCCTGAACAGAGGTTCTCAGAACATATAAAAGATGAGAAGAATGCCGAATTTCAGCAGAGATTCATCCTCAAGAGAGATGATGCCAGTATGGACCGAGATGATAACCAGGTGAAGAATGGAAAAGGGTGGGCCTTTAGAGAGAGCCTGCAGTAAGAGAAACTGGGAAGGGAGAAGAAGTTTGTGGGATGGAAAAAACTCAAAATACCTTAGAATGGAAAAATGTATTGAACTATGCTAAGTTGACTTTGGCTTAATGTTGAAGATTGACTACACTTATTGAGCTGGATGCCACTCTCTTAGTCCTGGAGAGACATGGTGCTGAGGTTTGCTGGATGATCTCATTTGGTCTAGAACTGCTTGGGTCTGCCACTGACTTCTAATTCCATGTCACTTTGGACAAAGCAAGGTCTCTCCCTGCCTCGGCTGTGATCCAGCTGTTGGTTTCATTCTTTTTTTTTTTTTTTTTTTTTTCCCCTTTTATAGTTAGGGATTTCTTCAGGAATCACTAAAAGCTACTTTATCCCACTTCCACTCTTATCCTAGCTGAGGACTAGCCTTGAACTGACAAAGTTGTGGTCTGATTTAACCAATTATAAAGGTGTGTCTGATCCCTTTCTGCAAACTCCTTAATCTTTTCCCAACTCCTTCCACCAAGGTGAGTGAGTTAATTTGACTTTTGCTGATGGGAACCTCAGAGAAGATCCCCTTTGTAATCCACTTCTAGGAGAATAACAAATGAACAGCCTGTCCTAACCCTTCATTTACAGGCCTAGCTGCTGCCCTGACCTATGATAAACCCTTCAGATAGTGATTGTTTGCAGGTTTCCTCCCTAAGTAGAGGTTAGATCCAGCCTGCTTCTGCTTAACCTCCAAAGGGGGTTAGATTTGGAAAGTGTGGTTGGTTAGAGACATTATTGTCTGCTAATTAATGATAACTATAATAATATCTAGAGTCAAAATTAGTTTTCTTGGGATATTGTGTGGTCTTGATACCAGGACCCATCCTGCTGCTTGAATATTAGAGGAGTCTTTTTGAAGTGTCATTATCTAATGTGGACAAACACGCTGGGTCTGATTGAAAACAAAACAAAACAATAACAACAAAAAAACATACAAAAAGACGGAACTAAATTTTAAAAAAACAAGAAAGAGTCTTTCCATCCTGATGCCCTTCTATCCATTTTTCCAAAACCCCTTTTCTGTGGATCAGGAATTATTCAGTCCTAGAGGCAAATTGGGGCAAAGTAGAATCTGCCTCTACTGTAAACTTTTTATCTCTCAGCTTCAGACTTGATCCATAATAGGGTAGACTCTGTGTACTTCTCTCTGGGATATTAATAATAAACATAGCATTGCTATTTTATTGAGTGTTTTCCCTGAACTAGGCTCTATTCTAAATGTTACATGCATTATTTCTTTTAATTCTCTTCACAACCCAATGTATTTGGGGTATCAGTCCCTCTTTACAAATAAGAAAACTGAGGCTAAGAGATAAATTAATTGCCTGAAGTCACGTTACTGGAAGGTGACAGCTGAGATTCTTCCTGACCCCTCCCAGCCCATTATGCTCTTCCTACTGTACCATTGATTTACCAGTGCTAGGGACTGGGGATAATATAGCTCCTTGAGGTCCTGTGTCTTCTTGGAATAGAATTTGTAGAATGACAATTAGTAGTATATAGGGTATTAAGGTTAGTGAGAAGTGAGGACTGAATCTAATCAAAGTAGAAATACCTGAAGTTGTGGCTACCTATAGAGACCAGTGAAAATCAGGAGCATCAGCCTAGAATAGCAGGCTCCTTGGTTGCTTCGTCTGAAGCTTTCAAAGCCTCTAATTGAAAGTCAGAATGATCTATAGCCTGGTGATGTTCATTTGATGAATTCTCCCTTAGAGCTCCTTGCCTTTCTGAGCAATATGGAAAAGGTCCTCTGCTATATCCTCCCCAGGACAGTATTCACAAGAGGCAGGTCAGGAGAGGAAAAGACAGTGACACCGGGAGTTAGGTGATGGCTAGCGCCAGAGGTGATCTGCCTAGACATTCCTGCTAGTCACTTCACTGCATTTGTCAGAGAACATAAAGTTCTCTGTCCTCCATTTCCTTCTTTTCCCTTTCTGCCTGTCTTCTCCCTTCACAGTACTTCATTTACCTTTTCCTTTCTCTGCCCATCCTTCTTTGTATTCTGTTCTTCTTTTCTCTATGTGTCACTTTGTTCTTATTCTCTATTTATCTCTYTCCTTACTGCCCTTCGGTTGCTATAATTAAGATGAGAAAAATGACTTGGGCTTTGAGTTTCGCTTCACTTTTGGGATTTCATTTCCAAGGCCCTCTTTGCAAAACTGTGTGTGACTTGGGTCTTCAGGTCACAGCACTAGTGACTAAAGGGATAATGTCATGTGCTAGTTCTATAAACCTCTTCTTCTATATTCAGCTCTGCTAAACAACTGTTCTTTTCCCTCTCTAGCTTCTTTCTATCCCTTACTTTCCCTCTAAAGCAATGTTGTTTATTTTCTTAGGGATGTTTTCTGATCCTTACTGACTAGATAGTACCTGATTACTACAGGAAAACAACCCTAATTCTTATAAATAGTTTTCTTGATATCCTGGGGGGAGTGGGGAGAAGAAGAATCATTAACCATCCAGAAAACCTGATCTCCCAAACTGCATGGTCAGATGTACCCAGTGAAACCTGTCCAGGACTGGAAATTTTATTTCTTTTTTTTTTCCATTTTTTTGATGGCAACTATAAACTTTCCCGGTTTCTCTTCCTTGCTGGTGTGCAGTGAGCTTGCAGTACGAGGAGAACTTAACTAGCTTAATTCTGCTCATCGATCTAGATCAGAGTTCCATTGCAGGATGGAAGGAGGAGCAAGTCAATAGAAGAGAGAGAGGAGGAATATCAAAGGGTCCGAGAGAGAATATTTGCCCGAGAGGTAAGTGTAGCTTCTGAGAGTTGTCAGACCATAGCTTTTAGCTCTTAATCTTTGGAACTGTGAATGGAATAACCCTCCATAAATGTTGTTGGGTTTTTTGGTTTGTTTCTCTCTTTTTTTTTTTTTTTTTTAAACCAACATCAGCCAGTCCCAGGTTTGACCTCTGAAATTAAATATGGCTTATTGGGAAGCTGTAGGTTTTATTTGTATTATTTTTAATATGTTCTACTCTGTGGTATACAAAGAGAACTGAAACTTGGAGTGGCTGAATTTGGTAAATATGAATAGACTGAAAATAGAAATGGTTTTGGCAGGGCTGATGGAAGAGCCCTGAATCTTGCCTGTCAAACCCTCCTCCCACTTACCCTCTTAGATTCCCACTATTCATTTTAGGCATCTTTGCTTCTAAGTAGAAGACTTGATGTCCATACAGGCTCTACATTCATCTTGTTTGACTATTCTTGTTTCTAGGATATGTTGGTGATTGTTAGAGCTCTGTTCTGGCATCCATCATCTCTAAGCTCCACATTCTACATACACAGAGGGTACCCCTGTTCCCTCCAGTTGCTACCTGAATGGGAAGTTTCCTTCTTCCTATATTTTCTTACCTTGCTTCATAGAACAGGACTGGCTTTATGATTCAAAAGGCAGCATTAATCAGTTTAGGCAAGTTTTTATTCTTAAGAATTATGGGCCATATCTAATAGACTTGGTATCCCTGTATCTGTTGCCATTGCCTACCAGTTGAAAAAAATATATAGCAGAACCTTAGGAAAGGGCATGGGTAGTCAAGAGATGACCAAATCTCCAGAAATGTAAAGTTTCAATAGCAGCAGCATCTCACAGTCAGATTAGCAACAAAAGCTAATCTATATACTTATATGAACACTCTTCTCCCATTCCCCCACTCTCTCCTCTCTCAGCCAGGCCAAAATTTTTTTCTATGTATATGTATCTTTTCATCATCACCTCATTCATAAAAATATTGTCTGTAACTAAAATCTGAATTCCTCTATATACTGGTTCCATTATCTCAGGAGAGCCAAGTGCTTCTAAGGATCCTCAGTGGGGACTGATACATCATAAGTATTCTGGCCTAAGGTCCAAGGAGAAGGAATTTTCTTACCTACTGTTTTATAACCTATTCTGAGTCAGTAAAGTCCATCCTCCAAATTATCCCACCACGTCCCAAAGAAGGTTCTCTGCTTTTACCTGCAAATAAATTGGGTGGAATGAGAGGAGAGATGTCATTTGTACACAGTTGTGACCAGTGATGACTCTAAATTGTGGATAGAGCAGGTTGGTGGATAATAATAGCGAACACTCATAGCACTTATTATCTTTCTGTCATTGTTCTTAGTACTCTCTGTAGATTAACTCATGTATTCCTCACACTAGGCCTATGAGATAGGTTACATTATTTTTCCCATTTTATAAATGAGAAAGTAAGGCATTTAGATGTTAAATAATCACCTAAAGTCATTAGCTTAAGAGCAGGTGTTTGAATTCAGCAGTCTGACTTCAGAGTCCATGTTCTTAACTCCTAATGTAAACCACCTCTCCATAGCTTATTTTGCCCTAGGCTTTTCAGATTAAGAAGCCCCAGTGACAACATACCTTAGCTGGCTGACTATAACATACTCCTGTGCTTTACTGTCACGTGGAGAATGACAGTCTTTAACAAAGCCACAGAGGTTCTGAAAGCACAGGCAGCTTATGGTAGGTTATCAGCAACAATGGAATGTATCTACCTAGAGCCATAACAAAAGTAAAGTTAGCTCTTCTGTCCTTTTTTTCTCTCCTGATTTCTAGCCTTTCAAGCCTCTACTAATATATGTATTCTTTGTTAAATCCTTGGTATATATCACTTTGGTTTCAGCCCTTCCTCACTCTTATGGTAGAGGCCTTGGGAATCTCAGAGGTCTAGATGATGAAAAGTGGCCAAAGCCCACCATCCTCCAAATATTCCATATGGAGAGAAACTTGGCCAGAGAGAGTGATTAAGGGTAGAGTTGTAAGTTTGGTGGGGGGCAGATGGGTGGTGTAGAGATAGGAGGCAAGCCAAAAAGAAAGGAAAGTGGCAGGAAGGGTGTTTGGATGGAAATGCTATTGCTGCAGCTTTCTCTGGAGCCTTAGCTGTGTATTGGGACAGCTGCTCAATGTAGGCTCTGTTCTGCATAGAGCCCACTCTGCTAAGCAACTGGATACTCTTAGTACCTTTTTCTAAGGCTTTGGGAATCCAGTGTGATGCTCACTTCACTCAGCTCAGTGACTTTGTCAGAAAATAATCCCCCATGGGAATATTTCAGACTTTTAATTTTCACATTTTTTTTCCTAGGCTCTAAAAGTACCTGCTTCCCTAATATCCTACCCTTTCTTGGATTCAGGTCACATTGTCTTTCATTTTGGCAAGTCTAGAAAAGGACACAAAGGGACTAGCCATTGAGGTTAATTCCAAAAAAATGAAGTTTATTTCTCATACCTCCCTTTCCCTTCCTTTGAACACACCCTTTAGGAACAAGCCCATCAATTATTATACTCAGCTTATTCCTATAGCAATAAATTTAGAGCTAAAAAGAAATAATAATAGGTTAATAACTTTACATTTCCTCCTTTTCATATCCTCCCTTTATCAGTCTTCTTTTTAAACATTCTGTGGGAAGGCTAAAAGCACCAAATGTTCTTTCCCATTAAAGGTGAGAAAGCAGATTGGGTATGTGGGAATGGGTCATTCTGTCCTTGCTCCCTCTCTCCCTGTTGGTGGGGTGAGCTTTGGTTTGAGGACCTTGGGTATTCATAGCATCATGGACATCCTTTTTGGTTATGCCATGCTGTTTTCTTATAAGTTATTTTCCATTTTCTCCCCCTCACCTAGACTGGCCAGAACGGATATCTAAATGACATCAGGTTAGTACCACTTAGCATGTTCCCTGCTTTTCATTGAGCTTTGTCAGTGAGGTTAATATAATCCTGTAATGATGCTTTTATTTTGTTGTTTTTTGTTTGTTTGTTTGTTTATGTTAACCAACAGACTCTCCAAAGAAGCCTTTTCTTCTAGCTCTCACAAGAGAAGGCAGATTTTTAGGTACCTTTGTGTGATCTATATCTCTTCTTACTTTTAGTTTTGTTTTGCTACAATCTTTTCAGCAGAATGGGTTTGCTCCATGCATGGCCGCTTGTGGAATAAACTTGTGGTTTTTGCAACACTGGATATTTTTCCCCATTTAAAAAAAAAAATGGCTCTTGCTCAATGACTTAATTTTTATTGTTGCTGATTCACTTTGAGTCCTGAATAGGGAACAAAACCAAATAAGTGTGTCTGGGATGGGTACTGCTCCCTCCCAGACATTTGCTGGAATTGGGCATTTTCAAACATATATTTATAGTAAGGTTAAAGAACAGGTGTCTTCTGGCTACCTTTTCTGAGTCTGGGGAAAGATGTGGAGAGCTTATCCCTGATACAGCATAAGGAATGTTTTGTATCTGTAGGAAAAAATAATACATACACATACATAAATATACAAGGAATGCCTCTGTCTACATAGTTTTCTCTTTGAGACAAAGCAGTGTGTAAGATGACCTCAGAAAGGACCTAAAGGACCTGTGTGCCTTAGAATGAACTAAATAATGCCCTTTTATATGATTGTCCATTACTTACCTATAATTCTGGCAAAAGCTGCTGCTTGCTATGTTAATCTCCCAGTGCCTAATATTCTCCATTTTCCTGCAAAGCAATCATAAGAATCTTCATTTCAATTTCTCAGTCCCATCCCAAAGGATAATTCAGGGTGGAGGTGAGAGAAGCCCTACTTTGGGGCCCTATGCTGGTACCAACTCATTTTAAGTACATTCTTCCCCAGTATAATAACAGGAAGAAAAAACAAACAAACAACAACAACAAAAAAAAAAAAACATGGAGCAGAAAATCCCTGAGTCCTTAACACTGTGATTTGGGACTGACCCTTTCCAAGAGGATTCTGAGTTTTCAAATCCTAAGCTTAATAAGAAATGTCTAACTAACTCAGATGACTGAGATTTCATTCCTGGTACTTTAGTTGTTCTTTCCCTGTAGTCTTTTCTAAAAGTAGTCAAACTGTGTAGAAATACTGAGATTTCCAATTCTTTGGAGGGGGGATTTCTGTCTTTCTGAGCTCTTTTTTCCCTATATTATCCTAACCTGAGATCCCCAGGTGGAGATGGCTTTGCATTGCTGGTGATACCAAAGATAGAATCTTCACATTATTAAAAAAAAAACAGAAATAAAAACAAAATGACATGATGGCACATGCCTATAATCCAAACAACTCTGGAGGCTGAGACAGGAGGATCACAAGTTCAAGGCCAACTTCAGCAACTTAGCAAGGCCTTAAGCAACTTAGTGAGATCCTATGTCAAAACAAAAATATAAAAAGAGCTGGGGATGTAGCCCAGTTGTAGAGCATTCCTGGGTTCAATCTCCAATCCAGTCCAAAAAATAAATAAATGAATAAAAAATCCTAATCCAGTCTACTCTTGAGGGTGATATATTGATCATCACAGAATACTTATAATAAATAGAAGTTTTAAGCTAATTTCTGTGTGTGAATTAATACACAGCACTATGGTTGCCAGAGTATACTTTATCTGATTCATTTCTCTCAATAGTCAGCTGGTTTATAGCTAAGAAAAAAACAAAGATTAAGGAGCTAACCCAAGTTTACATGGCTATTAGTGTTAAAACTGAAGCTGATTCTTTGTCTATTATTYTTTTTACTACACTGTACCAGCTCTTCACAAATATCACTCCTTCTCCAAGTAGTATCCTGTTTGGAGCCCTAATTCAGATTTACTGCCAATAATGATGCCTTTCTTCTTTGGAGCATCAGGCTACATCAAATTGTGCAGATATTTTAAAGAATCTGGTGAACAAGTGCAGTCCTTGCTTCTCCAGATCTCCTTTTAAGCATTTGCTTTTCAAACTGAGCTTTGATCAATGAACTAGGTCATCTAAAATGCAGCATTATGGACTTTTAAGGAGGCAACTTATATTTGAAGATTAATCCAGAACTTTAATGAGCAGAATCTGATCTTCTTTGTTTAATACTTTTCTGTCCCAATGTATGTTCATGAAACAAATACTGATACACCAAATTCCATTATCCACATTTGCAATAACTAGTAGCAACTTTTCAATTCTCTGGAAGATCCTACTCCATTAATAATAAGCCACAGTGAGGCTTATTGATATTTATTGCCACCTCTTCCACAGGCCTCCTTGCCCATTCCCCAGACCTAACAAACTGGATTTTTATCAGCATTAAATCTACTTGTAAAAATTAAATCATTGCCAGGTACAGTGGCCCACGCCTATAATCCCAGCGGCTCAGTTGGCTGAGACAGGAGGATGGCGATTTCAAAGCCAGCCTCGAAATGGCGAGGTGCTAAGCAACTCAGTGAGATCCTGTCTCTAAATAAAATACAAACATAGGGCCTGGAATGTGGCTCAGTAGCTGAGTGCCCTTGAGTTCAATCCCTGGTACCCAAATAAATAAATAAATAAATCATCTCTGAATTTATAGGTTATGAAGTGTGAATGATCCTTCTCCTTTACCCCCATCTCGCTAACATAAATACAACCGAATCCAGTGCTCAGATTTGAATCTGGGTGGCTCTCCCTAATTATTATATGTAACTAGAGATCAGGTTTATTTATATAGAGAGAAACTGATCTGTTTCCTGCCAAGACTTTCTGGAGTACTAACTCAGATTAGCCAGAAAATCATCAAATGCTGGACACAGTGGTACATACCTGTAATCCCAGCTACTTGGGAGGGTGAGACAAGAGGATTTACAGAAGTTCAAGATAGCCTCAGCAACTTAGTGAAACCCTGTCTCAAAATTTAAAATAATAATCATAATAAGATGTAGTTCTGGGTTCATTCCCCAGTATCAAAAAGTAAAAGAAAATCATTATGCAATCTACATTGAGCATTTGGCCTTTATTGCCTAGAGAACTGGATGAGTATAGAAAAGTGCTGCCATTTTGGCCATAGCTTCCCAAGGTATTTCATTTAAAGTTGTTTCATCACCTGTGATAGCAAGAGAAAATGTCAGGTTGCTGTAACAGTAAAGTGTTTGATTTAGGTAGAAAAAGCCATTAGTTTGTCTTGGAAAAATTCAGACTTTAATGTCTAATGAGCATCAATAACCACTGCCACTGTTATATCTCCTTACTCCATGTTTTCTTGAGTCTTCTCAGTATACTGGCCTTTGTTTATTAAGACAGAGCTATTGGCTCTCACTATAGGCCTGGGGTCTGTTCCTGGAGAATCCCTGATTTATGCCTCTCTCTCTCTCTCTCTCTTGTTTCCCCTTCTGCTTTTTGCATCCCAAGAAAAAGAATTAAAGTTTTAGGGAAACAGTAACATTTCACAATCACCTGTTGAGCTAAATGGAGAGAAGAACTGAGGTAATATATACATACATACATATACTTGGGGTAACAGAGAAGGAGCACATTCCAAAACAGCTGTGTCAGCTTGTTTTTAGCTCCCCATCGTTGGTTTAGCTAATAAAAACTAAAAAGTGACCATAGCATATATTTTTCCCATTTTCCCTACACTGCCTTTGGATTAGGTGTCCTAATTAACAACAGTTTCTCCTTTAATATTTACCCGAAATAACTTTGTTATTAAAATAACTCTGGGCCCAGGACCTTTGTAGCTAAGGTGATTGGGATGGAGTTTTCTGTTTTTGATAGGATGGTGGTAAAATGAGGGAACCCAAACTACTATCATTTTTGCCTAATTGTTCCCCAGCATACATATCAAAATCTGTAWTTGTTGCCTTGTAGTTTCCTTAGGTCAGTATTTGTTAGGATTGGGATGAGAGTGAAAAGAAAATTCCTGGTTCTTGGTTGCTTATTAATTAAGAAATAGTAAGAACAAAAATTTTTGTGCCTTGCCCAYGGCAGTTGGATTGTGAATGTGGAAACAACTAGACAAAGTTGACTCCCTGACTTTTGCCACCCTGAATCCCAAGGGTATATTGTTTGATTTTGCTGAGGACTTCAGTCTCTAGAAACTCTAGAACCAAGCCCGGTGTGGTGCTACATACCTATAATCCCAACTACTTGGGTGGCTGAGACAGGAGAATCATAAGTTTGAGGTTACCTTCAGCAATTTAGTAAGACCTTAAGCAACTTAGACTCTGTCTCAAAATAAAAAGGGCTGGAGACACACCTCAGTGGTAAAGCACCCTGGGTTCATTCCCCAGTATCCAAAAAAAAAACTTCAGCACCAAATGCCCCCAGATATGAACATGGAACTTCCACAAAACAAATTGGGTCAATTTCAGATTATTCATTATACTCTTCTTCCAACCCCTGGAAAGGTGGCCATAAGCAGCACCTCTGCTGGCTTAGACACATGTTATGTGGAAGATCTGTTATGGAACTTATCCATGTCATTGGCTACTCTGTCTTCTGGCAATACTTCTGGGAGTCCTATTGTTTTAAGAACTTCCAGAAGGAACTGCTGCCTGTTTTCCCCACTATTTCCTGCATGTATGGGATCCTTGTGGTGATGGGGAGGAGACCACAGCCAATCTCAGCATCATGTATGTGGTTTCCCATTCACCTCTGGTCCAATGTTTTGAATTAGCTACCAGTGCAATGTCTTTCAGATTTGCCTCTGTGCTCTTTGTTACTGTACTGGATGGATCTCATTCTGTCTGTTCCCATCAAGTCTTAGTTGGCCAGCCAACTAACAAGAAACTAGTTCCCCTAATCCTTACCCCTTCTTTGTTATTGAGAGAATAGAAGTGAACTCTCTCCTAGCCCTTCTGCTGAAGTGGTGGGTGGGGGGTGCTCTGACCACTGTGGTCTCTGCAGGGGGAACCGAGAAGGGCTGAGTCGTACTTCAAGCAGCCGCCAGAGCAGCACAGACAGCGAACTCAAATCCCTGGAGCCAAGGCCTTGGAGCAGCACGGACTCAGATGGCTCTGTCCGGAGCATGCGACCTCCTGTCACCAAAGCCAGCAGTTTCAGTGGAATCTCTATCCTCACCCGAGGTGACAGCATCGGCAGTAGTAAAGGTGGCAGTGCAGGAAGGATCTCCAGGCCAGGTACTACAGCTTCTTTTCCTTCCACGTCATGCCCTTCCTTCTTGTTTAACTTATGTAAAATATCACTAATATTTACTTTTAACAAAACATTTATCCCAGTATGGCTTCATGAAAATCTAAAACAACCAGTGGAGGGGAATTTGATTTCTTGTATCCATTATCCTTTGTTGTATCTGGTCCCATCTGATTTTCTTTCAAATATTCCCATCCTGATTTAAAAAAAAAAAAAAAAAATTGATCTTATTTTTGGATTATTTCTGACTTAAGTGAGACATTACTTGCAGCCCAGGTGCAGGTTATTTACTATGATGAATATGATAGCTGCTTTCATCCTGTGTCCCTTGAGATTATAAGAGGATTTATAGAGCACAGGAAGCCCTAGAGTATAGCTGCTTGTAATTAATTGGTGATAGCCAGTAGACTAAAACTACTGCTGTGGCTTCTTCTTTAGCTCTCAGTTACTGGGAAGGAGCAGACACTCACATGTTTCACATGAAAGCCTATCATCACCCTTCAGCTCTTCTAATCTCCCTCCATTCCTGTTGTACACTTAGCAGAAGGGTATTTATTTAGCTCTCCATATGCAGTGGAACTCTTATTTCACTATTCTTCTCCCTCTGAAGAATTGCTTAAATCTCATTCTAGAAGTGCTATAGATCTTGTCCTTATTAGACATTGGCAGTGGTGAGGTTTTTGCTTCTGATAGGTCTCTACTGCCCTTCTCTTACTTACTTTTTTTTTTTTTTTTTAAGAGAGTGAGAGAGAGAGGGGGACAGAGAGAGAGAGAATTTTAACATTTATTTTATTTTTTCTTAGTTCTCGGCGGACACAACATCTTCGTTTGTATGTGGTGCTGAGGATTGAACCCGGGCCGCACGCACGCTAGGCGAACGCGCTACCGCTTGAGCCACATCCCCAGCCCCCCTTCTCTTACCTACTTTCTAGTCCCACTGCCTCTTCCTTTAACCAGGCCTCTACTTTCTTTTATTTAATTATGATTCTAGCCCCCAAACTGATCTCCCTGCTCTATTCTTGGCCCTTTTTAGAACCAATATATCAATCTAAAATAAATTTAATCATGTCAGTCCTCTCTTCAAAGTTTCCTATATCACCTGCACAATAAAATCCAAACTACTTAATATAGCATAACTTCCTAATTCTGACTAGCTATAGCAATCTAATCTCCAGATATCTTTTTCCAGCCCTTAAACCATTTTTCAAATATGGTATTAGCTTTGTCTCCTCTCATTTTGACAAGCTTGTATTCATCCTTCAAATCCATCTCTCCTGCCACCTCCTCTTTAAATCCTTTTCTGACCCTCTAAGGACTTCTTGCTTCCTCATCTTTGCTGTYATAATACTTTGTTATTTTGTTTCTGTGTCCCTTATCCTTATCAGATTGTGATAGTTGTATGGGTGTTCATTCCATCAGAAGGTCCTGTGCCTGGGCTGGGGATGTGGCTCAAGCGGTAGCGCACTCGCCTGGCATTCGTGTGGCCCGGGTTCGATCCTCAGCACCACATACCAACAAAGATGTTGTGTCCGCCAAGAACTAAAAAATAAATAAATAAATTAAAAAAAAAAAAAAAAAGAAGGTCCTGTGCCTCTGGAGGACAAGAACTGTATTCCCTTTACTTTTTTGTGTCCTTAATTCATTACATGATACCTGGCACATAGCAGATATTCAATAAAAAGTGAGCCAAAATAAACCTTTCTCTTTATTTTTTCTTAAAGTATGTTATAGGAATATGTACATGTGTTGGAGAACCTAAAAGTGAGAAAAATAGTTGGATAAAAAATAGGTTGCACATATATGTGTTCAGCTGTGTGCTTGTAGAGGTGAGGTCACCATGTTAGCAACCTTAGAAAGACATAATGCAAGTTGAGAAGAAAGCAAAGAAAAACAGGTCTCTTATGGGACCATGAATCTGTACCTTCCCAGAAAGTAAGAATTTGTGTTTTCAGCTACCTAATCAGAATTTTAGGAACTTCAGGGGAGATGCCTCAGTAGTTTCACATTTTGTTCAATTCTAAAACTAAACATTTACAGGGTGGTTCCTGTCCCTTGAGAGTAGAAACCTGCTGAGTAGAAGGCTGTGCTCTTAGCTTAAATGCATCTTTGTTCATGCATGGATCTTCAAAAGACAGTGGAGAATGGGCAGATGAGAGTAAAGAGAAAGGGCAAGGAAAAAGTAAGAGCCCTGCAGCTGGGCCTTTCAAGGGTAGTATATTCATGGCTCAATTTTACAACTCTGGATTGGTCTCCTTTTTGCCTTAGGCATGGCACTAGGTGCCCCAGAAGTGTGCAACCAGGTCACCTCACCCCAGTCTGTCCGGGGCCTTCTTCCTTGTACTGCCCAGCCGCAGCAGCAGCAGCAGCAGCAACAACTTCCTGCTCTTCCACCCACACCTCAGCAACAGCCTCCTTTGAATAATCACATAATCTCACAGGTGAGTCACTAGTCATTGTCAAAGAGCCACCTCTGCTCTGATTCAAGTAAACACTGGAAGTATAGTCATATCTCTTGTGCTGTGGGTAGCAGAAAGGATCAATTTTTGGAAATATGCCACTCCCTTACCCATTTCCTATTTGTCAAGTTATGGGGAGAGAAGAACAAATGTCTGGCCAAAGTACTCTGTAGAGTCAGCCTAGGAGTTTTTTGCTTTATACTTCTTCTGCTTCTTCCTGATAATTGTCAGTGCGTCTTTTATCACACACATTTTTATTGTACCCCCTCTACCTCTATTCTGCGTAATTAGCAAGGTGATTTTGCTCACCATATTCATATATGGAACTCAAAAAGATTATAGCTCCCACATAATCTGACTAAATATATTGACCCAAAACATGTATTTATTTGTTGGAGTTAGGGAGAAAGATACCCTACAACACATGCCCTAAGACTCAAATACTCCCCAAAGTTGTCTTTGTTTTTCAGTTATAAAAGGGCTACCTTGCCGGGCGCGGTGGTGCATGCCTGTAATCCCAGCAGCTCAGGAGGCTGAGGCAGGAGGATCGTGAGTTCAAAGCCAGCCTCAGTAATGGCAAGATGCTAACCAACTCAGTGAGACCCTGTCTCTAAGTAAAACACAAAATAGGGCTAGGGTTGTGGCTCAGTGATTGAATGCCCCTGAAATCAGGGTCCGGTACCTATCCCCTCCCTCACACAAAAAGGGCTTTCTTTCTTTTTCAATTGCTGGAACTGCTAACTGTTAGTACCAACTAGGATTAAGGGAAGTTTTGCTTCTATGCAGACCATGAAAGTCATTAGCCTAAGAATCAGGAACCCTAGCCTTCTAGGTTACAAAGCCGCCTGAATACTCTTGAGTAGAGCTGTACTGAGACTTTCATTTATTCTCTTCTTCCATGAACAGAGCTTTTAATGAGTAGAATCCCATGGGTCTATATTCTTTTTCTATAGTTTAAGGTTTCTTTTAAAAGAAAAATTTAAACTGAAAGGTCCTGTGTTCAGTTAGTCCATCGTGGTCCTAGATATATCTCTTTCCTAGGTACTAGAAACAAGTTCTAAATACCAATACCCTAGGAACTGGGAACTCAAGTGGAAAGACCTCAGAATGACACAGTCAGTTCTGTCCCATCCTAAATACTGTGAAATGATGCTAAAAGAAAGAACACTGAAGCTGGGCATAGTGGTTCCCACCTATTATCTCAGCAWCTCAGGAGATTGAGGCAGGAAAATTAAAATTCAAGGCCAGTCTCGGTAGCTTAGTGAGACCCTGTCTTACAATGAATAATGGGAAAGGCTGGAATGTAGCTTAGTGGTAAAGTGCCCCTGGATTCAATCCACAGTACTAAAAAAAAAGGAAAAAAAGATGAAGATCTAGGAAATGCAGCTTTGTGTCTGAATGTAGATCAGACACATGTAGATCATTCCAGTCCATAGTCCCTAAAGCAGTTTCTCTATAGTGCTGACTTTCTTATTTGTTATTCTACCACCATTTACCCTATTGGGTCTTGTTTTTATCAACTTCCCTTACTTCTTACTAAAGCATTGCATGTATGTATATGCTTTTCTTTGCCTTTGTCTTAATTCAAACCAGCTCATGGTAAACTCTGTGCTTTTTCTTCTGGCTTTCTCCTACTGTGCTTATATATGTGTAGCTTTTCCAAGGCTCCAATGTTTTTTAGTTCTTTTTTCTTTTTCTAAAAGATGATTATTTTAATAGAGTCTTGTTCCCTTTTCTAATGCTTAGTCTTCCATCTGCTTCCACCTTCTATCTGTCATCCGTATCTAGAAGTAGATAGCAAGAGTGGGAGAAGAATAAAGAGATAAGAGAATAACCATTTCAGACTAAAAATTTAAACTGAATGTCCAAGTGGTGAGCCCTACACCCAAAACTTCTACTTGGATTCTTCGCTGCTACTGGACCCCAAGCATCAATGGTTGAGTCATTGGTATTAACTCCCATTCTATAGGAAATGTGCCAGGTTAGATGCTGTGGATTAGGGGTGGGAAATCATTGTGTGGATACAGAGATCTCTTTTCTCTCAGAAATTCTATCTTGAGGTTAATCATGATCACAAACTCTAAACTAAATAATCTTACCCTGAGTAAGTATTGATGTTGCGGAAACATTATGGTAGCTGCTGAAGTTATACCACCACCACCACCATACCATTGTATATATCTTCTTCCATTTTTTTCTACTCTGTTTATGCCCTTCTTTCTCTTTCTTGTATCTCTTTCTTTTCTTTTTCCCCCTCAGCACTGGAGGCTCTGCAAACTAAAGTTGCTAAGCCCAAGAAAAATTATTGTTCAGTTTCTCTAATGCTATATAACAGTATAAGGATGAAGGAAGTGACCACATATAGACATACCGCTGTGCTTATGTTAAAGCTTATCCTGTACAAGAAAAACTCGAAGAAAGAGTATTTACCTCTAGCTCTGAAGCAGGAGGCATTTGCCCCAGGCATGGAGACAGTGCTAGCAAGTGTGCTCTTTCCCTTCTTGGCAGGCCTTCTCACTCCATGAAGGCATTCATCTGGTATAAGCATGTGAAACTAGGGAGTCAGGCTGAGGATAAAGAGCCAATGGCTAGGGGCTGGGGATGTGGCTCAAGTGGTAGCGCACTCGCCTGGCATGCGTGCGGCCCGGGTTCGATCCTCAGCATCACATACAAAGATGTTGTGTCCGCGGAAAACTAAAAAATAAACATGAAAAAATTCTCTCTCTCTCTCTCTCTCTCTTTCTCTCTCTCTCTCTCTTTAAAAAAAAAAAAAAAAAAAAAAGAGCCAATGGCTATCTTTTACCCAATTGACTTAAACTAGATTGGACCACTGTAGTAGAGCCCTCTTAACCTCTCTCCTGGTGTCCTCAGGCATCCAAGAGCCATTGATCTGTCCTAGAATGTGCCAGTAGGTGGCAGCCACATCCTCATAGTTCCTCAGAGGTTCCCTGACTCTGCAGTTTGAGGCAGACCAAGAAGAGCACTATAGGTGAGGGTAGCATAGAATACACATCCCATGCCCCCCCCCCCCCCCCAAAAAAAAAAAAAAAAAAAAGACAGCAAGACCCTTACCTTTACTATTGCCCTTACCCTTTTAGGGGAGGCCTAAGAGAGGAGCATCATTTCTCTGTTCACTCTTTATTTAAAACCCACAAGCCAGACTTGTTTTATCACTTTATTGTTCCTTCTCCAAGTTATACCCTCCTCCAAGAGCAAGAACAGGATTTTAGTATAATATAAAACATGTATAAAAGCCACCCTAACTTATGCTGCTAATGCTGAGCAACTTGGCCAACAGTTACATTTGGAATATGATTGGTTTATGAAAAATAAGTGTGACAGTAGGGCTAACAGTTTATTTTCCAGGGCTAAGAGTTGATTTTCCAGGCCTCAACCACTTCCCTCTAGGTCCTAAAAAGGTCTTCTCAGTAACTTTTTCCTAGTCAACATGACTTAAATTTTTTTTAATTTTTTTTTTTTTTTTTAGTTATCAATGGACCTTTATTTTACTTATTTATGTGCGGTGCCGAGAATCAAACTCAGTGCCTCACATATGTCAGGCAAATGCTCTGCCACTGAGGCATAACCCAGCCACTAAATTTTTAAAATCTAGATATCTCCTCTTCTGAAGCTCCAGTTTTCTCCCTTTGGGTGGTGATGGAGGAGAGTGGGGGCATGTTCTTCTACTTGAACTATTAGTTCCTTTGTGAAAATTTCCTGGAGATATGTGGCAGGCAATACTATCAATATTACAGCCCCCATATCTATTAATTCTCTAAATATGGAGGGAGGAGCCCATGGAAGATTCTAGAAGAGTTCTYTTTGGCCTCTTCCTTCTCTTCCTCCCTATTGCTAGAGCAGACTGGAAAAGCACTTGTCCTGCAAAAGTAGGTTTCAATCTCAGCTCTGCCGTATTAGCTGTGTGATCCTAAGTGARGAATTTAATTTCTCTGAGGCTTACTTTCTTAATTGCAAGTACAAGTTATCCTATCTCCCTATGGGAATCTTGTGAAGCAATCAGGAGACAGAGTATATAAATAAATATTATTTCCCTCCTCTTCATCACCTTTCTCCTTCTCCCATCCCTCCTGCCACCAGGGGGTTATAACTAGAGAACTGATGAGGCAGTTGAAAGGACTGGAGGGGAAAAGAAGAGAAAAAAATAACTACCCATTAGTTGGTTTAGAAAACTGCATGTTCCAATAAACAAATCCTGCTGCTTGAGGCTAGTGAAGAGACTGAAGGTACAGAAACTGAAGCTAAGCTGTTTATATTTTATCCCTAAAATCCCCCTGTTTGCTTATGGGGGCATTTTTTCATATTGCCCTCACAGCCTGGAGGAGCACAGAAAATCATGGAGCAAGAGGAAGTAGTTGGAAGCAGGCATCAGCTGGGTTTTTTTTGTTTTTTGTTTTTTGTTTTTTTCCTTTTTCTACCCTCGGGAGGGAGTCGATCCCTGTGAAAGAGCACTTCCTCCAGGAGAGCTGACCTTGGATGACTCTTCCTACTAAAGCAGTGCAAACAGGAATCCCAGTAGGCACTCAGGAGGGTTATGATCAAGCTCACCAGGAATCCTGTGCTCAGAAAAAAGGTTTTAGGAAAATCATCATTTGAAATCAGGCAACAGGCCCTGGCCCTGACAGTTCTCAAATTGCTCACAGCAGCTGCAGAGTTCTAAGTGCCAAGAGGGTGGGGCATTTAGTAGATGGCTCCTCATAGGAGAAATTTGTTTGTTTGTCAGAGAGAGGTGAAAGCTATAAGCTGTCCCAGGCTTGGTGGTCAACCTACTCAGCAACCTTGTGATTCATGTGAAATTTTTTTCATGATTAACCTTGTTGTTCCTTCCCTTTCCCTCCCCATCTCTGCCCTGCTGCCTCCCTCCATGCCTCCCTTTTCTCTTCCCTTTTCTACATGCCTCTCTGCTGGTCCACAGCCAGTCCCAGCTCTGCAGCCCTCTCCGCAGCCTGTTCAGTTCTCTCCAAGCTCCTGTCCCCAAGTCCTTCTGCCAGTCTCTCCGCCCCAGCAGTACAACATGGTATAAACTCCATTCTCCCTTTTTGTCTTGTCCATGTATGGCCTGTTTCTGTCGTATGTCTGGGTCAATCTGTGATGGCCTTGTAAGCATGTTGTGCTTTTGGAGGGCATGTTGAAAGCTATTCTTGAGGGGCCCGCACAGGCTGAACTGTACTCCATTCTGATGGCCTCATCACAGCACACCGAAAGACACCTAAATATAAGATAGGAATGCTGAGTTCCCCAGAGTTTTAGTAAGGGGAATGAAATTGGATGTTGATCTAACCTAGGCCCCTTATTATATCATGTATGCCTTCTTAATTTGCTCCCTGGACATGTCTTGAAGAACCCAGTTTATTTTGTATAGAATGGTTCTCTACAATTTCTTTTAAAAATAAAAACACAACTGCAGACTTCTTTGGTACCAGTGGTTAAAAACTGAAAATCTTAATACCCCCCCTCCCTGCTTTTTGATACTGGGGATTGAACTCAGGGGCACTCAACTACTTAGCCATATCCCTAGCCCTAATTTGTATTTTATTTAGAGACAGGGTCTCGCTGAGTTGCTTAGCGTCTTGCCATTGCCAAGGCTGGCTTTGAACTTATGATCCTCCTGCTTCAGCCCCCCAGCCACTGGGATTACAGGCATGCGCCACTGCACTCAGCAGATCCATTTTTTACCTAATTTACGTGTTGTTTTATATGAAAAGTATTCTGCACAGTATACGTTATTTAAATTATTCCCTGACTTAAATACTTTGAAGGTCTGATCTGCCTCACAGTTGATAACTTCCATCATGGTTATAGGAGTCCTCTTTTTTTTTTTTTTTTTTACTTTATGTTTATTACACCTTTCTGCTTTTTCACTAGAATTCCCCTCTTTTCTCCTATCTCTTATCTTTATTCTGAAAAGTCCTAGAACATGGACCTTAAAATAATCTGCAATCTAAGACTAATCTCTTATCTTTTATCATCTATTCCTAACCAATAAGATAGCAAAACAGATCCCTGAAAGTAAAGTGAAACTGCAGTACAACATTGTCTTTTGGTTTCTGCTAGTTTCTTTTCAAAAAAAACTCTTGCTCTTGTAGACATACACGTGTGTGTGTGTGTGTGTGTGTGTGTGTGTGTGTGTGTCAGAGAGAGAGAGAGAGAGAGAGAGAGAATATATTACTATCCAGAGGGTAGAAGAAAAAAGGAAACTTAAAAAATAACCTATCACTGTACAAGTGAAAGATGGGATACCATCACTCTTGCTGCTCAGGGAAGAAGGCTGAGGGAGAAGGTAATTACAGTCTGGCCAGTCAGTCTCCTCCTTTAGCTCAGCCACTCACCCTGGCCTCCTTTCGGAGGTGAGAATTAGAAGTGGCTTCTGAAGGAGTGGAGAACTCTAGGCTAGTGTCAAAGAACAAAGGTGGAAATGACCTCCATCTGGAATAAAAAGATAAGCAGCAGGAGTGGAGCCCAGCAGTCCTTTACTGCTAGACAGAGCTGCAAGGCACATGAACCTAGCCACCCAGGATCCATTTGAGGTGTTATCTAGGTTCTTTATTATAAAAACAGAATCTACAGCAACATAGGAGCCATTTTTTATGGTTAGGGACATGAGGAAGGTGGGAAACAGGAAAAACCTTAAAATCTTTTTCTTTAACCCACCAGTTTATCCAGTTTTTTCTATAAGTAGAAGTTATCTATCATTGTTATGTATCATTGTATTGTATTATCATTGTACTCATCCCCCCAAGACTAATTCTAATAACAATCATGATCAATGTAGCCATTGTTACCTCACATGTGATAAGGAGAATGGCTCTGAAGTTAGGTTTCTACTATTCAGTTCGTAGCAATTTAAAATATCACATGTCAAAGGCTTAAGGCTAAAAAAGCCTTCTCAGGGCAAAAAGGCAGGCCTGACCCTAAAAAGAAGACTGTTGTTTCTTGTTGTTTCTTTCTTTCTATATTGAAGCAAGGACATGAGACTTAGAGTCTCCAACTCTCTCAACAGGCAGATGACCTCAGCAACCCCTTTGGACAAATGAGCCTTAGCCGCCAAGGTTCTACTGAAGCAGCTGACCCCTCTTCAGCTCTATTCCAGCCCCCACTTATCTCCCAGCACCCTCAGCAGACTAGCTTCATCATGGCTTCCACCGGACAGCCCCTCCCCACTTCCAACTATTCCACTTCTAGCCACGCACCACCTACTCAGCAAGTCCTGCCACCCCAGGGCTACATACAGCCTCCTCAACAGGTAAGCAGCCCCTGTCCTCAACTTCAGTCTCTAATTCAGTTTATCCAGTATTTAATCTTTCCTTCTTCTAGTTTAGGCAGACCAGAAGGGGAACTCTCCCCAGAGTGTGCTTAAGCGTTATCACTCTAGACAGAAGGTCTTCTTTCTAATACAAGTGCTATTATATTTCAGACTTGTATAGTAATCTTGTAATTGCTGGCCTAATAGAATATCTCTATTTACAAATTTCCATCTATTAGCCCTGAGGTATTTAGTGATTTGTTTCCTCTCTATTATAGATCCAGGTTTCTTATTATCCCCCTGGACAATATCCTAATTCCAACCAGCAATATAGACCTCTTTCTCACCCGGTGGCCTACAGCCCCCAACGTGGTCAACAGCTGCCTCAGCCATCCCAGCAGCCTGGTAAGAGGAGCCACTGGTGTAAGAAGATGGCTCATAGGAGAAGGACAGAGAAATTACCTTCCCCACTTTAAAAAAAAAAAAGGAATTATTAGGGTCCAAAGGAGGGGCCCAGGTTCTTGGGCTAGAGATGGGGGTCGGGGGGTGGAGGCTTAAAATAGAATGGAGAAGGGAATTACTGCTAGAAAGTTGCCTTTTAAACATTTATACTAATGTTTTTTCTGCTTTGCCTATCCCTAGGTTTACAGCCCATGATGCCTAACCAGCAACAGGCGGCTTACCAAGGCATGATTGGGGTCCAGCAGCCCCAGAACCAGGGCCTGCTCAGCAACCAGAGGAGCAACATGGGGGGCCAAATGCAAGGCCTGGTGGTTCAGTACACTCCACTGCCTTCTTACCAAGTGAGTGCATTCTGCACTGGGAAAGATCATCCAGGCCTTGAGATGAGGAAAAGGACAGCCTCCCAGGATCATCCATACAACTTCAATTCTAAAATATTGTCTATTTCCCCCCTAGAAGTTTTAGGAACTTTTCTCTAAAAGAAAGTCTGAGAGGAGTTTTTAAGTTGTTTGGTGTTTATAAAGCCATGCAAATGCCTAGGAAAGTAGGGTCTAAAGGATTTCAACTCTTTCTTATGTCAGATGCCCAAGAGTGATATTTAGAGAAGGGGAAAATGGAGATGGCTCTGTGACCATTTCCTCTGGACAAATGAAGAGAACAGGAGGAGGCTGTAAGAAGTAAAGAAGGAAGTTGCAATGCCCTGATCTAGTGATGACTAAGCTGTTCTGTAGATGAACTCAGAGTACAATTAGATATTCTGTTTTCTACCCAGGTCCCAGTGGGCAGTGACTCGCAAAATGTGGTTCAGCCACCTTTTCAACAACCCATGCTGGTCCCTGCGAGCCAGTCTGTACAAGGAGGTCTCCCTGCAGGGGGTGTACCAGTGTACTACAGCATGATCCCACCAGCTCAGCAGAACGGTACAAGGTGAGGACTGCTGGAGAGCAACGGTGTATTTTTCATAGACTTTCAGCAACTGTTGTATCGTCTTCTATTTCTATTGGCCTAGGAAACACAGGAGTAAGAATCCCAGTAGTGCTCTAAAGCAGGTAGAATATGAGGGAGTTCATTTTCCTTTGTTCCTTGATGATTTAACTTTGCATAGAGCCCATCAGCAGAGAAAAAAATTCCTGCTTCAAAGATGGATGCTTATAATATTCCCCATTTTTTTGTTTTTCAAATCAGTGGGACTGAGAACCAGGTTTCAGAGACTGTACTTGTCATTAAAAGAAGCAATTTTGGAGCCAGGCAAAGTGCCTCACACCTGAAATCCCAGCTACTTGGGAGGCTTAGGCAGGAGGATCACAAGTTCAAGGCCTGCCTGGGCAACTTAATGAGATATATCTTAAAGTCTAAATTTTTAAAAGGGCTGAGGATGTAGCCATTCTGAAGTAGAATACTCTTGGGTTCAATCCCCAGTATCACACAAAAAAAGGAACAAACAATTTTGGGTTCTATGTACATAAGTTTCTGTGTATACTTGTATGTCTATAGATGAAACTTTTATGACACATATATTTCTGTATATCTATTTTCTGTATAAATGTAGCTAATGGAATCATAACCATAGAACGTACCTTAAAAATAATCTAGTCCACAGCCCTTATTTTATTTTCCTGTCTTGATTTTTAAATGAAGAAATTTCAGGTAGGGTTGCATCCCCAAAGTCACACAGCTGGCTAGAAGTAGAGCTGGAACTAGAACTCAAGTATGGGTCTAACTGTCTGCATTTCTCTGTGTCTGTCTCCCAGTGTATATTTGTTTATCTCTTTCTATATATATGTCTCCATGTTGTTTTGAATCTTGTGGGTCCCCCCATACCCATTTGTCTTTAGGGACTCTCAGTGTACGCCATTATACATAGATCCTAAATCATACATCTTCTTACTTTTGTTTAACACATTTCTTTCTAATATTCTGTGTCTTTCTCTGACACACTCTGCCTGTTTCTTATTGTGTTTCTAGAATCTATGCACGCATACGCGCACGTGCGTGTTTGTGCGCATGTGTATATGCCTGCTGTTTCCACACTGTTGAAAAGAGCATGTGTCGCTAACATTCCATCTGTAGCACTGATTAGCAGYTTCCTAATTGAAAGATGATCAAGTACAAATATATATAATTAACTTTGAACTGATGAGTGATTTTAGAAATTGCACTGCAAATTGGTCTGGGAATGGCTTGGAGCTGCCTCTGCTTCCCACAGGGAGGTCCAAAGAAGCAGCAGCTGTTTGCCAGGAGCTGTTACCCTCTCTACTGCTTCACCACTCCTCTCTTCTCATCTCTCTAGCCCTTCTGTGGGGTTTCTACAGCCCCCTGGCTCTGAACAGTACCAGATGCCTCAGTCTCCTTCTCCCTGCAGTCCACCACAGATGCCACAGCAGTACTCAGGTAAGAGGATAAAGAATTTGGGGAGGGGCTGGGGATGTGGCTCAAGCGGTAGCGCATTCGCCTGGCATGCGTGCGGCCCGGGTTCGATCCTCAGCACCACATACAAACAAAGATGTTGTGTCCTCCGAAAACTAAAAAAAATAAATATTAAAAAATACTCTCTCAAAAAAAAATAATAATAATTAATTAAAAGTGCTGGGAAAGGATGTAAATTCATTTGTTTAAAAAAAAAAAAAAGAATTTGGGGAGGGCTTGGGTACTGGTAAGGGCAAACATTGCTGCCAGGCTTGTGCTTTAGAGTTGAAAGGGTAGAAAGGTTCAAGGATTTACTGACCGCATCATGAAGAAAGACCAAAGTCTTGACAGGGGTTATCCAAGGGTGCTGGAGCTGATCTCTGATGAGGTAAGGAAGCCATATCTCTGGGTTTCTTTTACTCTGCTGTGCTCTGAGCACATGTGCACATGTGTGTGCGTCCATATTGCACTCTATCTCTCTCTTTTTTTTTTTTTTTTTGACAATACTGGGCATTGGGGACTGAACCCAGGGCTTTATGCATGCTAGGCAAGCAGTCTACCACTAAGCTACATCCCCAGCCTCTCCCCTTAATACCCCCTCTTCTACCCTACCTCCCCAGTGTTCCCCCTCCCCCTCCCTCTCTTCTTTCCTGAATCCAATATTACACTCAGATACTTTTGGGTCATAAAATACTCACTTCTGTCACCTGCACTCATTCTTCCTTTAGATGGCTTTTCTCTGGTGGGGGAAGTTGAAAAAATGCCTTTTTTTTTTTAAGTCATATCAGTTTAGCAGCTTTTAGTGTGTGCCTCACATACATTGATATTTGAACTCTTACCATACTTTGTAAGGAGGAAATTAAGACTTCAGAGAGGTTACATTACTTACTTAGATCACTATCATAGAACTTGAACTTGGGACTTTTGACTTTCCATATCCTRTGTTGCATGCCACAGCAGTTAAAGAAAGAAACTTCAGAGTTTCTGGAGGGAAGTCTCAATTTAGCCTTTAATCATCTTGGTTCCACTCTATTGTGGGAATGTCAGAGTGCCCTCTTCTGGTGAGAGGGAGATATTTTGCCAGTTTCTCCCATTTAGAAATGGAATTTTTCACTTAAAAGTTTTTTACACCCTCTCTATGGGGTAGTTCTAGAATTATCTTGATCATAAGACATGGTCTGTTCTTTAAGGAGCAGTGGCTTCTGACTTCATCTAGGCTAAACATGGATTCTTACAGTCTGAGGTTTTAAATTAAATAGACTTTTGTTTTTTATTATGTAAGTGGTGTCTTCGACTATTTTTCCTATCCGCCAGGGGAACTTGGCCTTGAAATTCCCAGCAGAGTATGGAAATTGTAGAAACTAGCTGCAAGAACCACTGCAGGGCATTTTCTCTCCTACTTATTAAGATAAGTGTGTACATGTGTATGCAGGTATACTTGTATACACATTTTTGTGTATATCCTTTGTGGTATGTCATTATCTATTGGGTCTCTGGTTATCTTTGTTCATATTCAAATACAAGATTTTTGAATCCAGAAAAAAAAACTACAGATTAAGTTCTGGATTAAGTCAACTAAAACAGCTGCTATTCTGGAAGCTAACAACACTAGACATCTGGGCTGGGGGTATGGAAGAAGGAAATAATCTTGGCTTTTCAAATCTAAAGAAATGAGGAAGCTGGGCACAGTGGCACACGCCTGTAATCCCAGCAGCTCTGGAGGCTAAGGACAGGAGGATCATGAGTTCAGAGCCAGCCTCAGCAAAAGTAAGGTGCTAAGCAATTCAATGAGACCCTGTCATTAAATAAAATATGAAACAGGGCTGGGATGTGACTCAGTGGTCGAGTGCCCCTGAGTTCAATCCCCGGTACCCACACCTTGCCCCCCTCAAAAAAAAAGAAAAAAGAAATGAGGAAACCTTCTTCATCATTTATTTCCTTTGCTTCTTTGGAATTTTCCCAGGAATATCTCCTTTCTTCCCAGCCATCTTGATTGATCTTGGGCTTTCAACCAAGAAACCCTGTGTTCTACCCAGGTCATCTAAGAGACCATATTTACCACACCAGTAATTTTAACTTTTTAAATCACTATTCATGGAGGGAGTGGAAAAAGCTTCTGAGGCTGGGGTTGTAGCTCAGTGGAAGAGTGCTTGCCTACCATGTATGAGGCACTGGGTTCTATTCTTAGCACTGCACATAAATAAAATAAAGGTCCACATATAAAAAAATAAAAGGGGAGAAGCTTCTTCTGCCTTCATTTCCAGTTTACCTTTTATTGGGAATATAGACAACAGGCATAGCCCACAAGGACCGCTCTGTCACCTTCAAAGAACAGTCACCCGCCTTCCTGTTATGTAGCAACATGGTCACTTTTCCAAAAATAAAGACAGGGATTAGATTGGTCATTCCTGGAACAACTGTTCTGATTTATTAATACGTTTTTGTAGCTGCCCAGTTTACCCCCAAGCCTGTACCTTATTTCCTCCTCTATAATATTAGATATAACTATAACTCCAGGAAACACTTTTCCTCCTACCAAAATAATGGCTGTGGGTCCCTTGAGGTTGTTACAGGGATGCTTGTCAGGGGAAGGTGCACTCAGACATGAAATGGCAGCAATACCTGTACTCCCAACTCACAGTGACACAGCAGCATGGACAGAGTAAGATGCATACAGGAATAGCCTGTCATATACTTACTGGCTTATTTTTTTACCTGGGGGCTTTCAAAAGCTCAGACTATTCTCTTCCACTTCCTGAAGATACCCCTTCCCCCACCAAAGGGAAAAAGGAGAAAAGGCCAAGATACTGATTTTTATCCTATAATCTGGGAAATACACCTTTGGATTTTATTTCTCTAGACATTGTTTTCCATAGGTTCGATTCCTGGGGGTAAGGAAGAAAACTTATCAGTCTTCTATCTCAGTGATTAAAAAAAAAAAAAAAAAAAACCTAAACAAAAAACGAAAAACAATTCTGCCAGACATAAATGTCATCTGTTTATATTTATACGATTTGCTCTGCCCAATCGACCTTTCTGCCCAGGTTTAATGATGCCACTTAAAAAGCCATTCACATGTCCCCTCTCCTTTTAGAGCTTTCAAGCTGAAATTGATTTCCTTATTCAGCCCCTTTCTCCCCCTTCCTACCAGCTCTCAACCCAAGCTCCTTCCCCCAACCTGATTATATGGGAGTGCTATCACTGGGCAGTGGGTTTTTGTCTTTCTTTTTTATTGCCACGTCCATTAAGAAGTAGCGACAGTTCAGCTGCTTAACGGATGCCACCTGCTTTTGGCTTGAGGAAGAGAAGCATAAAAATCAGCTCATCAGCAGAGTAGTGCTCTGTGTCCTCGGCTGAGTGAAGGAACAATGCTCCAGGCCATGGGGGGAGGACTGAGTATGGGGAGGAGATCAGGACAGAGGCTGTAGACTAAGAATCCTGGCTTTGTTTTTGTTGGAATCAGAGAAAATAATATGTGGGCTTTTTTTTTTCTTCTTCTTCTCTCCCCTTGAGCCCCCAGTAGCTCCTTATGGCTACACTTTGATATTAGAGATTCTTTTGCCTTGCTTATGCTCACCCCTATACCCTCACACATCCCCCATTTTTCCTGGCCCAGGGCATTGGGCTCAGATTATGAGCTGCCTTCTAGAAAAGCTGTGGATTTGATTATTTTTACATTGGCTCCCTCAGGTATCAATGAGGAGTTTGAATAAGGTCAATTGCAATTTTGTTGAAAGAGGATGTTGGAGTGGATGGGGCTCTTAGGATGGGGAAATAAAAATGCCCAAAGCAACTATAGTAAGGAGAGAGTTGTTAAATGCATGATACTCCACAACTGCAATTTTCCAGTGGCCTTTCTACAAACCTTACTGATGAATACCCTCTCTCCCCCCCCCCCCCCCACCCACCCCGCTCAGTAGGGGATGGGGAGATACAGGCCTATTGCTCTATTTGTGCTCCCTGATTGGATGAACCCTAAAGGGTAGGAGGCACACATTGGCTGGGGAATAGGATCTGATAGATGCCATGTCTTCTGAGGGGCTCTCTCAGGCCTCCTGCTGCTGCTTTTCCTTTCCTTTGACCAATACTACCTTGAGAAAAGCAATCATACTCACTTCCCAGCATGACTAGTGCCCAGGGCAAGAGGCAACATTTCCCATCATAGGAAGCAATATGGTGGCAGCAGTAGTAGCAATCCTGGAGCACAGAACCAGGAAAACAGCAGCATTGCAGCAGATTTTTCAAGATAGTATACCTCAGTTCCTGTTTCTCTACTACCACACACAGGAACTCGGTCTCAACAGAATTTAGCCTGGGAGGTCAAGAGCAAACCCCCTGACTGGACAATCCCCTGTGGGGAAGCAGAAACTGTACCTATTCCTCCCTGGGGGAACTGTCCATCAAACTACTTCTCCCTGACTTCTTACCTTTTTACCACGAAGAGGATTTAAGACAATATTCATCCTCATTGTGCCCTTTTCTTCCTCCATCCTGTGAGTTGGTGAGGCTATCCATGGTTACCAGTGCCTATATTTAAGGGTTGCATCCCATCACCTGAAACTGTCATTGTAGCAGTCAGAATGTCTGACCTCCCATGGTCCTCCTCTGGTATTGGCCTCATTCAGAACCTCCTCATCCATTTCAGGAACTTCCTAATGGGTCTTCTTGCCACAGTTTTCCTCCCTTCACTATCCTACATTTTGCTATTTGGGTTGGCAGTCAAAGCATCAGTTCTGTCCCAGTACCTCTAGGATAAAGTCCAAGCATCTTACCAAAATGCACTTCAAACTTTGACATTAACTCTTTTTTTTAATGTCTGACTTGTTAGCAGACTATTCCTTTTAGGAGAGCAGGATCAGGCTTGTTCTTTGCACACTCAGTGCTCAGCCAAACAACTAGCACATTGTAAATGTTCAATAAATGTTTGTTTCATAAATATACCTCAGCTTTTGCTGCTTCCCCTACATAGTGCCTGTATCTTCGCACCTCATGTCTTTTGTCATTTCCTAAACATGATGTATATTTCCATGCCATTCCCTCTGCTTGAAAGGTTCCCACCCCACCCCATCCAACCTTTGGCCAAGAAATATTTCTGAAGTCTGGCTCCATGAAGCTGTGTGCATCTTCTCCAGGACAATCAGAACTTTCTGACTTACCTATAGCCCTTACCAGAAAAACTTGTACATGTCTACAGCCCTTTATCATGCCCAGACCTTTGAGCAATCTGACCTGGGTATTTGGTAATACCCAACTCTGACGGAATGGAGTAGTTTTTCTGCCAAGCATACCAAAGTACCCCTCACCAGGTGAAGGCCAAGAGAGCACTGGCATCATCTCTCTTCCACTCAAACTTCCACTGGTTTGGGGAGAGGGAGTCAGAAGCCAAATCAGCAGTGATTTCAGATTCCTGGCAGGACACTGTTTGAGTGACCCTGAAGTGAGTTGGGTGTATTGCTTACTGGCTTTCCCACTCAGGGCTAACTGGAAGAATAAAATATACTTTGAATTCTCAACCAACTGCTTTTTTCCTGCCACTCAGGAGTGTCACCTTCAGGACCAGGAGTGGTGGTCATGCAACTGAATGTCCCTAATGGACCCCAGCCCCCCCCAAACCCATCCATGGTTCCATGGAATCACTGTAAATACTACAGCATGGACCAGCGGGGTCAGAAGCCTGGAGACCTGTACAGTCCTGACACTAGCCCCCAGGTGAGTCCTCCAACCCTGCTTTGTGTTGGCAAGGAGGGGACCAGAATATTCCCAGGGAGCAATCTTTGTTATTGACAGAGCAGCCTCTTTTACACATCTTTCCCTGGGYATTTTCAGGGGGAAAAAAAAGCCAGTAAGCAATACACCAAGAAATTGAAGAGAGCATTCTCCATTAAGGAACCTAAAATCTAAGGTGGGAGAAGGAATACACTCTAGTAAATGCTCATCAGAGAATATTTTAAATGAAGAGTTTCAGCTCAGTGTTAAAGTGCTCACCTAGCTTAAATGAGGCCCTGGGTTCTATTCCCAGCACCACCACCAAAAAAAAAAAAAAAAAAAAAAAAAAATTGCACATGGTATGTCAAAAGTGGATGTTAATTAATTAATTAAGGGTTAAGAAATCAGTTTCAAGGAGCAGTCTGACTTTGACAGAGTTCACAAGAGCAAATTATTTCCTGAGAGGTAAATTTAAAGCCACGCCATAGGAATATGCAGAGAATAATGTTTGGTGTTTATGTGATATGTGCTCCTCTCTTCCACAGGCCAACACACAAATGAGCAGCAGCCCTGTCACATCTCCTACTCAGTCTCCAGCACCCTCTCCTGTCACCAGCCTCAGCAATGTCTGCACAGGACTCAGTCCCCTGCCTGTCCTCACACAGTTCCCCCGGCCTGGGGGTCCAGCACAGGGTAGGGGGTTAGATTAGGGCTGGCTGCTGTGGAATTCACCATTCACAAACCACTTCTAGCTGGGGAAATTAGAGGGCAACAACAGTCAGGGAACCCATGTAACTGATTCAATTCTGGGAGCTAGCTTTTCTTTTAACATCCCTGTTGAGACCAACAACAACCTACCCATCTCTCTTGCTGCCCTTAATTAACTTATTCCAGCCCTCCTTTATGTACTTGTATTTACTACCAAGTAGGGTAAAAGAGCTGGAGAAAAAGTTTATTAACTTTCTGATGAACTAAAGAGTTTAGCCTATCATCAGTACTGAGTCTGAGGGCTGGGACTGTGGGACTGTGAGAATAGTATGGTTTTAAAAGAGGTTTTAAAAGAGGGAACACTGGGTTTGGGCTAAAACATGGGTTTCATTTCCACCACAAACTAGTTTTATGATGTTGAGCAAGTTATTTAAGCTCAGAACTAGACCTTAGTTTTCTGATCTATAAAAATGAGGTAAACATTAGATGAAGTTGAAGATAGTCTTGTTTGCTTTCTGACTTGACTGTCTCAAGCAATATAAAAATAAGATTAGGACTTAGGTTGTAGCTCAGTGGTAAAGTGCTTGCCTTGTTTGCGTGAGGCCCTGGGTTTGATCCTCAGCACCACATAAAAATGTAAATAAAAATAAAGATATTTTATCCATCTACATCTAAAATATATATATATGTGATAAGATTAGAAGCCAGGTACAGTGGTGCCTGCCTATAATCCCAGCAACTTGGCGGGGGGGGGGGGGGGGGGCTAAGGCAGGAGGATCACAAGTTCAAGGCCAACCTCAGCAACTTAGCAAGACCCTAAGCAACTTAGCGACACACTGTCTCAAAATAAAAAGGGCTGAGGGATGTGGCTCAGTGGTTAAGTATCTCAGGGTTCAGTCCCTGTACCAAAAAAAAAAAAAATATATAGAATATGGTTTTAAAACTTTAAAGTGCTCTGAAATGTAACATTTTATTGGTGATAGGTAGCACTTGTGGTGCTTAATGTGTACCAGACACTGCTATAAGTGCTTTATGTTCATTTATTCATTTATCCTTCCAGCAATACTAAAGAGGGGAAAACATCCCAACATCATATTTCCCGTTGCAGAGCCAGTATTTTAATCTAAGCAATCTGGCACCAAGGCTGTGTTCTCATCCACCACACTGTATTACCTCTCACATGCATAAGCAACTTGGACCCTTGGGTTTGGGGGTGGAGGAAATCTGTATAAGAGATAAAAGACATTCACAAGGGTCTGTAGGTTTCTTCCTTTATCATTTCTATAGGTTTCTGTCTATGAAAGCAACCCTTTTTGAGCCTCTATCTCTGAGTCATCTACTTCACCCACCTGGGTGGACAAAGGACATACTGTACAAAATGGAGAAATGTTCTGTCTCCCCATCCAGTCCTGGGGCAGATGCTGGAGATGATGGATCTCCTTGAGGGCATCACTTGTACTGAGGCAGACAGACCACTCAGGCACACAGATTCAGTGGTTCAAGGATACTCAGGGCTGCCTGGCAGGGGTAATGGGGAGACAACAATGGGAGATACAGCTGAAAGCCAAGGAAGAGAGAGAGCCCTTAAGTCAGACATATGGGTCATTATAGAAAAGGTAGGAATAGTATACACTATGGCTCTTCAATTCCAGAGCCCCCTGAAGTTTCATAATAACCAAACTATAAAGCTCAAACTTCAGAAAACCATCTGCTCTTACTCTCTAGGTGATGGGCGCTACTCCCTGTTGGGCCAGCCATTACAGTACAATCTGTCCATCTGCCCTCCCTTGCTTCACAGCCAGTCAACTTACACGGTACACCAGGTAAGGGTGTCCACTGCCTTAGGGCCATCAGAACTGCCCCCTTTTCTCATCTGGGTGCCTATCTGTAAGCTATCTGCTCCAACCAGCTGTGTGGACAAACAAAAAATGGACTCTGTTTCTCATTGGCCAATCCACCTTGTAGAGTGGACTCCTCATGGTTAGATGCTACTCAGTGTCTCAAGCAGACACTGAAAAACAAGGTGGTCATTATTATTTACTTGGAGTGAGAGTTATCTTTCAAATGTTGAAGGGACAGAGTGGATTGAAGCATGGAAACCGCAGCAAGAGACAAGCACTCAAATCTGCCTCCACTGACCTGGGCACAGCAGATGTTGGTGAGTGGCAGAAGGCCAAATCCCTAAGAGAAAGTGCCCAGCTCTCTAGCCCTTTGTTACCAGTCCAGGATGAATAGGAAATCCATCTGAGGGTGGGGAATAGAAATCGAGCCTTTTGTGCTCAAGAGCAAACAAAAGCTACACTAGTGAGTATCTCAGTCCCCTTACCAAGCCATTCTGGGTCCTGAGGCAGATCACAGTAAAAATTGGGAATAGCACAGTCATGGGAATTGCTGAGCCTCTTATTAACCAACTGTCTCCTGGGAACAGTCCTGATCTTAATGCTGGACATCTACCTTTGGGTAGTGCTAGACTTGATTTTGGAGGAARCTGATAGAGAATTATGGAAGAAGTAACTTTCCTCCTGCAGGCCCTTCCATGCTATGAATCCAAGGTCTCTCAGAATCCTATTTGCAGCAGTTAGCCGAACTGAAAGAAAATGAAGGGAARCTCACTTTCCAAAATGTTAAGGAGGAAGAATCTATTTGGGGCAGCCTCTGGGTGGAAAAGGAACATGTTTCAGATTGATCTACTAAAGACCACTAGCAAAAATATTTCCTTCATAAGAATAACACCTTGCTGGGGGTGGAGCATCATTTCTCTATTCACTTTTTATTTAAAACCCACTCTTTATTTAAACCCACTCTTATTAAAACCCACTCTTTATTTAAAACTGTAATCCCAGCAGCTCAGGATGCTGAGGCAGGAGAATTGCAAGTTCAAAGCCAGCCTCCGCAACTTAGTGAGGCCCTAAGCATCTTAGTGAGACCCTGTCCCTAAATAAAATATAAAAAAGGGCTGGGAATGTGTCTCATTGGATAAGCACCCCTGGATTCAGTCCCTAATACCCCCCCMAAAAAAAAGTGACACCTGATGATAGAACACAGGTATTTGTCCTGAGATCATAAGCCTGGGGTTCTGATTCCCAGACCCTTCTTACAAGCTATGTCTTTGGGTTAGGTGAAGAGAGTTTCACTTTTTTTCCCCTGTTAAGTTTCCCTGATCAAAGTCTTAGGGGAGGGGTATTGGGTTGATTTGGGAAGGGGAGGAAAGRGCTAAGTGGCAAAGCTTTTAAGGACATTGTATACAGACATAGCTGGATATTTCTTTGCCCAGCTGCTGTCCAATCCTTCTTACCCTATCTCTCACAAAATATCTTCTCTCCTCCCCTTCCAGTCCTTGGGCGCGTGCTGGAGGTGACAGATCTCCCTGAAGGCATCACTCGTACTGAGGCAGACAAACTCTTCACTCAACTCGCCATGTCCGGCGCCAAGATCCAATGGCTCAAGGATGCTCAGGGGCTGCCTGGTGGGGGTGGAGGGGACAACAGTGGGACTGCCGAGAATGGCCGCCACTCAGACCTCGCTGCCTTTTACACCATTGTGGCTGTGTTTCCCAGCCCCCTGGCTGCCCAGAATGCCTCCCTTCGCCTGAACAACTCTGTGAGTCGCTTCAAACTTCGAGTGGCCAAAAAGAACTATGACCTGAGGATCCTGGAGCGGGCCAGCTCCCAATAAATGGAGAAGGGGAAGGAACTGTCTCAATAGGGCCTGGGGACAGAGTGGAGAGGACCCAGATGGAACAGAGGCAGAAAGTAAGGAGACAGATGCCGAACTGGGGCCTAAGACATTAGGGATCAAGAGGGAAACAGACTCACACTGGCACTGGACTCCTTGCCAATTCCCTGCCATGGGTCCCCTCTTTTTCCTTGATTGGACCCCCTTTGCTTCCCTCTCCTTCCCATCCTCTTCTATCATTTTTTTAATCTCTTCTTCCACCACAGAATTAATTTCTTATTTTTTTGGTCAGGTAGAATTGGGAGCATCCCACACTCCCCTCTTTATTCCCTTTCCATCCTATTTTMCCTTTCCTTTTTTGGTCTTTATGAGTATATTTATATGGACAGAATTAAGAAAAACAAAATTGATTTCCCCATTCTCTTACTTCCCCCATCTTGTCTCCCCAAACCCCCCAGAGTTAAAACTTGGGACTCCCCTTACCCCCAGAACACTTGTATATTGTTTGTTTGAGGTTTGTGCCACAGTAACAGACACAGTATTTAATTGCACATACAGATGTTTGCTGGGTATATTCACTGTAAATTTTATTTAATCTGGTTTTTGTTTGTTTGGGGGGTTACTTGGGGGGAGGTTGATTTTGTTTTTAAATATATAAAAAAAAAAACTGTCACTGGACATCAGTCACTGTTTCTCTGTTGCCACCCTGGTGTGTATGGGAGGGTAAGGTGTGGGTTGAAGACCCTGGGTAGGTACAACCCCTATAGCTTGTGGGCAGCAGGGGAGGGTAGGTTGTTGGGTTGAGATGGCTTTCCCCAGCATGTGCACATACCTCTCCCTAACACTATTCCTCCCTCTCCCCTGGAGTCAATTCTGATAGAAGGCTAAGTTTTGTCAGTACTTTGGTTTTGGGCTCTTAYACCTCTGCTACAAACTGGTTCATCAAACATGTCACTTCTCTACTCTGAACCTCTGTGTCCCAAGAGTTTGCTTCCATCCTGTTAATTCTCATTTAGAGCCTTTGCAACTGATCTGGGGAGGGATGAGTGAAGTCCAGAACTGTGTTGAGATGCTATCCTCATTCCTATCTATCTAATCTTCTGAAAACCTTCAGGGATGGAGAACCTGGGCCTTTAGTCYGAAAGCCCAGAAGATTGGGTTCTACTTGGCAGAAACAGAACTAGAGGTTTCTTATAATAAAAACTTTATCAACTGAACTTGTAGTGCCCATATGTGTTTAGCAGTCTCTGTCCTGTGCAGCTGAAGAAAAATGAAGAGCAGAAGTAACCTGCCTGCAAGATAGAACTTTCTACCTACGGACCCTCTGGGCTATACTGTTCTGCAACCCGTCAGAGGAGAACCATTAAAGAGGCTGTAGACTGCTGGGTATTGTGGTGCATGCTGTAATCCCAGCAGTTTGGGAGGCTGAGGCAGTAGGATTGCAAGTTAAAGGCCAGCCTCTATAATTTAGTGAGGCCCTAAGCAACTTAGAGAGACCCTGTCTCAAAGAATAAAAAAGGGCTGGGGATGTGGTTCAGTGCTTAAGTGCCCTTGGGTTCACTCCCCTGAATCCCACTCCCTGCCCAAAAAAAACTGTAGACTCATCCATTCAGAATTCCCTTTTCAATTTCATCTACCTCTTAAAGAGAGCAAAGAGCAGTGAGTAAAAAATGACATTGCCTTGGAAATCTAGGCCTGGGTAGCTCTATCTCTAGTCAAGCTCCTCCTAGAGATCGTCTAACCCAACCTCCAAAGTAGTCTTTTGTCTCACAAATACAAGGGATAGTGCATGCSAGGCAAGCACCCTACCAACTGAGCTATATCCCCAGCCCTCCATTACTCTCTGAAGATAGTGTCTTTCAGCCATGTCACAGTCCAATTAGCTGTATCTTTGTGAGATAAAAATGCCATATATTAGGACATCAGAGGTAAGAGGTAGAATCAGGGAATAAAAAAAGAGCTATAATTCTGCCAGTGCAGTGGTGCCTCCGGGCAACTCAGAAGTCTGAGACGGGAGGATCAAAAGTTTGAGCCCAGGGCTGGGGCTGTAGCTGAGTGGCAGAGTGCTTGCCTAGCATGTGTGAGGCACTGGGTTTGATCCTCGGACCACATAAAAAAAGTAAACAACAGTCTGGGGTTGTGGCTCAGTGGTAGACCACTCACCTAGCATGTGCCAGGCCCTGGGTTCAATCCTCAGCACTACATAAATAAGTAGAATAAAGCTATCATGTCCAATTACAACTAAAAAATAAATATTTAAAAATAAATAAACAAAATATGGGGCTGGGGCTGTAGCTCAGTGGTAGAGTACCCACCTTGCACATGTGAGGCACTGAGTTCAATCCTCAGCACCACATAAAAATAAATAAAGATACTGTGTCCATCTACAACTAAAAAACTATTAAAAAAATAATACGGGGAGGAGCTGGGGTTGTGGCTCAGCGTAGAGCATTTGCCTCGCACGTGTGAGGCACTGGGTTTGATCCTCAGCACCACATAAAAATAAACAAACAAAGGTACTGTGTCCATCTACAACTAAAAAAAAATAAAAGCTTGAGCCAGCGTAGGCAATCTACTGAGACCCTGTCTCAAAAAATAATAAGGGCTAAGGGGTATAATTCAGGTACAGTGAGTGTCCCTGGATTCAATCCCTGGCACTACACACACAMAAAAAAAAAAAGGGGGGGGGGGAGAATATTACTTACAAATGATTAAACACTCCCTATAGAAGGTAGTCATAAATTTGTCAAGGGTTGTCTCTACCTGGGGTTTATACTCTTACTCCCCAGATACCCTCAGATAAAAGTCCCAGGCTCCCCCCCCCTTTTTTTAGGTGTTTTATTGTTTGGTTTTTGGGGTTTTTTTGTTTGTTTTTGTTTTTGTTTTGCTKTGGTACTGTGGATGATTTAACCCCGTATTTAACCACCGAGCTATAACCACAGCCCTTTTTCAAATTTTGAGGCAGTCTCATTAAGTAAGTTGCTTAGGGCCTTGCTAAGTTGCTGAGAGGCTGGCCTTGAACTTGGAATCCTACTGCCTTAGCCTTCTGAGTTGTGTGTATGTTCCTGTGAGCCACTATACTGGCTCCAGCTCTTTTTCAGTAACTCTTATAGTTCCTTCACCCTGAGGACAAGATTTTAGAGGAATAGGGAGAAAGAAGTCTCTGGGAGCAGTGGAAAGGAACAAAGAGTACTACATATTCCTCATTCCCTTACAGGACAGTACATGCCCCTGACCACCACAGATGAGAAATCAATCTAATGTGGCTGATAAGAGAGCTCTGAGAATCCCAATTATCCTTTCCTCACCAGTTCCCAGGCCTTTCCTAGACTAAGGGCTTGAAGTGAGATCAATGTTTGAGGGTATATAAACACGTAGCCATGGGAAGACAATGGCTGAGAGTATATGTCTACTTAGGTAGCCTAGGGAAGGTAGAATTGAGAACCTGTTAGGACCGTTGGAAAATTGTTTTTTAATTCATCTTGACTTCACCTTCAGACATCTAAAATCCCCTCAAACAAGGCTGGACATGGTGATTCATGCCTATAATTTGGGAGGCTGAGACAGAAGGACTGCAAATTTGAGGTTAGCTTGGACAACTTAGACCCTATCTCAAAAGAAAAAAAAGGATTGGGGATGTAGCTTAGATGATAAAGTGCCACTGGTTTCAATCTTCAGTACCTACCCACGCCACCAAATACAATCTCTTCAAGTATGTGGCATGAAGAGAAACTGCCCCTTCCTGACTAGCGGGTACTGACCTACTCACCATAAGAATCAGGGAAGGACAACCCTGGGGGATGGGAGGAGTTAGGGTCCAGCCCTGCCCCAGACCTCCYCTCGTGTCCAATTTCTCTGTGTCAGCTGTGCTGTTCAGCTGTCCATTTTCCTTCAGCCCTGTCATCTCACACTGACACCAAGACAAGAGGCTAGCGGCCTACAAAATGCCGTCTGGGTGGCTTGTGTGAGTACGGAGGGTATTGGGGGGGCTTAGCCCCCAAGGAAGAGGACCAGTCCTTCCCCAGCACCACCTCAGGCCTCAGGGTCTCCCTCTTCCCTCCAGAGACCGTGGACTGGTTTAGGGAATCCCAAACGTAAGTTTCCCCTTCATCCTCTTTCTATTTCCAGGACTGCTCTCCCCAATCCATAGTCTATTCAGCTTCTTCATTTCTCTCCTTATCTGTGAGTAGTTGGGTTTTAGAAGTGAAATTATTACTCCAGGATTAGCTAGGATTGAAGGTGGGGGTGGGGTGGGGTCCAGGGAATAAAGTAAGGGAAGGAAAGGCTCATATTACTCTGAAAACCTAAAATAGCTGAGGCCTAAGGCAAGCTGGGACAGAACTAGGCATGGGCCCCAGGGTTCAGGAAAGARGGGAAGGAAATGTTTCAGTCCCTCCTTCCATGTGTGCACTCCAGAATGCAATGTTAAACTTCTTGAAGAGGGGATGTGGAAAGGTGTGTCACATTTCTATTCCCCATGAATAGGAAAATGYGTGAAACCAGACAATCTTAAGTATTATGTTGGGGCTGTAAACTCTGGGGCTACCCCTTGGGGCAGAAGGATGGGTATTAGTGTGAGAAACTTTAGCCTGTTGGTCTTTTTTCTAGATCTTCATGAAATATTTCTGTTCATAAGCCCTACTGAAAGATCTCTGTCTACCCAAATTTCTCCCAAAGCTTCCCCTTCAAGGACCACCCTACTTTAAGGGATAGAAATAAGGGAGGGAAGAATGGCAATCAAGATTTAGATTTCATAGTGGGGTCCAACCTCTTGCAGGATGACAGAAAAGGAGGTGCTGGAGTCCCCTAAGCCCTCCTTCCCAACAGAGACTCCGCAAAGTGGGGTGAGTCTGGGCCTCTCACCACTGGGTGTGGGCRGCTGGGAAGCCATTACAGCTTCTACAAGAAAGTGCTTAAAATGACCCCACTTGTGTATGACTCATTTATTGTTAGAATGCTATTCAGCACCTGTACCCTAAACCCCTAACCCTGGGGCAGATTGTTTGACCCAAGTTAGGAAAATGTCCAGTTGGCTTTGACTCCAGCTACCCTAGGAAGAGTTAAAGTCCTTTTAACACTGGATTTCCTTCACTCCTTCCCTCAGCTACAGCGGCTGAAGCAGTTATTCAGGAAGGGGTCTCCAGGGACAAAGGAGATGGAGCTTCCCCCAGAGCCCCAGGTCAATGGGGAGGCAGTAGGAGCTGGGGGTGGGCCCATCTACTACATCTATGAGGAAGAGGAGGAGGAAGAAGAAGAGGAGGAGCCACCTCCAGAACCTCCTAAGCTTATCAATGACAAGCCCCACAAATTCAAAGATCACTTCTTCAAGAAGCCAAAGTTCTGTGATGTCTGTGCCCGGATGATTGTGCGTGAGTTATAAAGGGAAGTAGAGAGAATGTGATGTTGAAGGCAGGGGGTGGGAACAGGTTGTAGGAGAGAAATATTTGCAATGGATAGATGGGCTATGTCAAGATTCAGCTTATGAAAATGATTAGAGATTGAGGGTCCCAGAAGAGGGAAGCACAGAGTAACTGTGGGGTACAAAGGGAAAGGGCAAGCTGGATCCTTACCCAATGTTCTCCCTCTCCCAAGTCAATAACAAATTTGGGCTCCGCTGTAAGAACTGCAAAACCAACATCCATGAACATTGTCAATCCTATGTGGAGATGCAGAGATGTTTCGGCAAGATCGTGAGTAGGGTCTGGAGAATGAGAGAGTAAGAGGGAGGGCACATGTTTCCAGTTACCCCCTTGTTGGTCCCTCAAGTCATCCCATACATCTTCCTGCTTTCTGGGCTCATCTCTCTTACTCTGATAAGGGGTAAGCATTCATGGGAGAAGTGGGGTGCTGGGCCCTACCTTGCTATCTCTAATGCTCCCCTCCCATCCCATCCTACAGCCACCTGGTTTCCGTCGGGCCTATAGCTCCCCACTCTACAGCAACCAGCAGTATGCTTGTGTCAAAGATCTCTGTAAGTGCCTCATAATGAACCTGAGGGAGTGGGCAAGACCCAGAGATGGTTTCACACCACTTTTGGCTTTAGAAGCCAGATTCTGAAACAGAAATATTCTATTTCCCATAGTTTTCACTTAATATTTTTGGAGTCATTTTGGATGCAGTCAACATTCCCGTTTTAGCTGGGCATGGTGGTGGTACATACCTATAATTCCAGCTACTTGGGAAGTTGAAGCAAAGGCCAGCATGAGCAATTCAATGAGACCCTATTTAAAAAAAAAAAAAAGTAGGATGATGCTCAGTTGTTGCTGGATTCAATCCTCTGCTTTCCAAAAGAAAAAAAAAAACAAAAACAAAAACAAAAACTGTAAACTAAGAGGAGTGAGATTTAGCTAGAACTACATGGAGCTAGCAGAGGTGGAGTCAAGACTGAGAACTTAATCTTAGTTTCAAAATCTGTGTTCTTCACATGCAAAACCATTTCTTTTTTATAATATTTATTTTATGGTTGTAGTTAGACATAATACCTTTATTTTTATTTATTTTTATATGGTGCTGAGGATGGAACCCAGGGCCTCACACGTGCTAAGGTTTCATCTCACTCCAATCACGCTGTATCGCTGAGCCAGGCCTGCAAAACCATTTCTAAGCAAGAACAAGGTTTCTAGATTGTCCTTATCCTTGTTATAGTATCATTCCAGACTTAGGACCAGACTCAAAAGTTGTGGACAACCTGGAAAGTTCCTAATTTGATAATCCTTAAAAAATTATTCATTGTGGGGCTGAGGATACAGCTCAGTTGGTAAAGTGCTTACCTCCTGTGCACAAGGCCCTGGGTTCAATCCCCAGCACCACCACCAAAAAAAAAAAAAAAAAAAAAAAAATTCATTGATAATTTGTTCAATGTCACCAAACAGTGTGAGAAGCATGGGTGAAAAAGAAGAGCCCACTGGTTGTAACACCCAGTTTGTACATGCTTCTCAACAAAGCAGAAGGCAGCAGTTAAGAAAGCATTCACCTTAGGAGAATAGTGATTCCAAGTATGCCCTAACTCCCAAAAAGTGTACAAGGTTGGCCGGGCACAGTGGTGCATGCCTGTAATCCCAGTGGCTTGGGAGACAAAGGCAGGAGGATCTTGAGTTCAAAGCCAGCCTCAGCAAAAAGCAAGGTACTAAGCAACTCAGTGAGACCCTGTCTCTAAATAAAATACAAAATAGGGCTGGTGATGTGGCTTAGTGCTGAGTGCCCCTGAGTTCAATCCCTGATACCCCACCCCCCMAAAAATGAAGAAGGTTGTCTTTCAAATATCATATAAAGTTTTGTCTGGAAGGAATTCTGATCAATATTTTTTCCCTATTATATTACTTTTCCAGTTTTTTTTTTTTTTTGTATAGAGATTGAGCCCCCAGGGTACTTTACTACTGAGCCACATTCCTAGCCTTTTCCATTTTTTATTTTGAGTCTGGGTCTGGATAAATTGCTTAGGGTCTTGCTAGGTTGCTGAGGCTTGCCTCAAACCTGCAATCTTCCTGCTTCAGCCTCCTAAGTCATTGGGTGTGTGCCACCATGCCTGGTTCCAGTGATGTGTTTTAGGACCATTTACCCTTTATAGATTAGTGTTATGAAGCTAATCCTTCTCTAACTCTTCCCTCCCCTTTCTCCCTCTCTCTTTTTTTCTCTCTCACATACACACATACACATTCACCATGGATACCTAGTTACCCAATCTCCCACTTCTCTCTTCTTTAGGAGGTCTCTTTTCTCCAAGCCTTTCTCTGCCTCCCCTATAATGTCTTCCTTCTCTTCCATTTCACTAGCTGCTGCCAATCGAAATGATCCTGTGTTTGAAACTCTGCGCACTGGGGTAATCATGGCAAACAAGGAACGGAAGAAGGGCCAGGCAGATAAAAAAAATGTGAGCCTCATACATCCCTACTGGGTCCCTACCAGGAATCCCATGGGGCAGGTTATTTTCCCCTTTGGAAAGCTGACAGGAACTATAAATCCTTTTCCCCAAAAATGGCACAATTCCTAACAGACACATCTTTGCATGCAAATATAGAGGACTTTATGGACATGCTGTGGCTCACCATGGGCCTTGGTTAAGAACTACTGTCGGGCTGGGGATGTGGCTCAGGCRGTAGCGCTCTTGCCTGGCATGTGTGCGGCCCGGGTTCGATCCTCAGCACCACATACAAAGATGTTGTGTCCGCCGATAACTAAAAAAAAAAATGTTAAAATTCTCTCTCCCTCTCTCTTAAAAAAAAAAAATTTAAAAAAAAAGAACTACTGTCATATAGTGTGTTTCTCAACTCCCTTTTGAAATTGTCAGATTAATTACCACAGAAGGCTAGGCCCCATGTCCTTGGCATTGCTGGATAACAGAGGCATGAGTTGTGCTTTTGGATTTGGGGAAAATAATTTGTCATTTCCAAGTAATCAGAAAATTCTAGAGCCATGCAAAGAAGGTCTGTGAAGATCATTCACTTTGACCCATTCATCTTACAGATGATGAAACTGAAGCACAAAGCTATTGGCCAAGAACAGCCTCATTTCCATTTATAATAGAGTTGCTAGATTGGTAATATAGACTTGTTTTCAGTTCTGCAAGGAATTTATATCTTTCTAAACAACCACTATGGACTAATATGGATGATAGTTACAGTTGGATCAATTCCTCAAATTGATTGAATGGCAGTATACCAAAGAGTCTAGGTCCTTTAGGAGTTTCCAACTAAAGGGAGATTTCTGAGGCCTTACAACATGATTTGGTCCATGGTCCTCATTGATGACCTTTTTTTCTCATTGATAAAAATGAAGTTGTGTGAAAGCTAAGAGGGAAAACATATAATGAATAATATATTTTAAATTCTTTTTTTTTTTTTTTTTTAATATTTATTTATTTTTTGGCGGACACAACATCTTTCTTTGTATGTGGTGCTGAGGATCGAACCTGGGCCGCACGCATGCCAGGCGAGCGTGCTGCCGCTTGAGCCACATCCCCAGCCCCCTATTTTAAATTCTTACAAACTAAAAAAAAAGAGCCAAAACTTATAATTTTAAATTTCTTAAAGAAAAATATACTTATCTGTTTGAGAAGGTTGGGCACAGATTAGGGATTTCTGTGGTGTGAACTATAATTTACAAAACCTTAGCTTTGCTTCCAGAAAGGATAGCATTCTCTTGGATTCTGTTCTTTTATATTAATTCAGAAAAAAAAAAAAAACCAAACTGTGCTGCCCACTTCCCTCCCCCCCCCCTCCTCACTCTTTGGTACTGGGGATTGAACCCAGGGCGCTTGCCACTAAGCTNGCCCTTTTTATTTTATTTTTTTTTAATTTGGAGACAGGGTCTCACTGAGTTGCTTAGGGACTCACTAAGTTGCTGAGGCTGGCTTTGAACTTGTGATCCTCCTGCCTCAGTCTCTCAAGTTGCTGGGATTATAAGCCTGTGCCACTGCACCAGCCTATTTTTCTCTTACACAGTGGAATACTTTTAAAGGGCAGACAGTACAATGAAAGACCTGGAATCATGGGGGTGATTTGAAGGGACTAAAAATTATTAGAGAAGAAAAGCCAGAAAGGACATACCAGCTTTCCTCAGCTATTTAAGGAGACCATATTTGTTTCACATTTATAGCTCCAGAGGGCAAATCAAGACTAATAACTGAAGATTACAGGTAGAATAACATAGGCTCAAGGCAGGGAACTGCCCTAAAATTGCACAGGGTTACTTTGTAAGGTAGTAAAACTCCATGCCATTAGCTACATTCAAACACAGGTAGGTGACCTACCTGCCAGCTGTTTCAGAAGAAGTCTCTGCATTAAGCAGATGGTTAGACTAGATGTTTCCTCCTTCTCCTTCCAACCCTGAGATCCTATTATTCTATAGTTCTCTGGCCTGACTGGAGAGCCAAGGTAAGCATGGGTTCCAAAGGTAATATTTCTCTAACTCTGGTACCCCCTTCAGCCTCTAGCGGCCATGATGGAGGAAGAGCCAGAGTCTGCCAGGCCAGAAGAAGGCAAACCCCAGGATGGTGAGTGTTAACCACCTCTATCTACAGAAATGGGGTAGGTTTATGTGTGGGGTTCATTTATGTGTATCACAGAGAGTGGAGAGGCAAGGGGTGGACCATACTTAAAAAAAAAAAATAGAGGTTGCCTTTCAACACAAGGGAAAGAAAATGAGGCCTATACTCCAGGAGGCAAAAACATTTGTGTTTCCCATCCCAGGTAACCCTGAAGGGAACAAGAAGGCTGAGAAAACACCTGATGACAAAGTGAGAATCCTTTCTCCCTATAAAGATCCCAGTCCTCTCCCCAGCCCAGGTCTGATACCATGTATGGCCTCAGCAGAAGTTCCCATCACCCTTTTCCTTGCTTTGCCACATCCAGTCCACACACACACACATACACACACACATACACACACACATACACACACAAACACACTAAGCTCAAGACTTAGGAGTTGGACTGTAATATGTCTGGAGAATGCTCCTCAATGTGGGGTAGAGGAGCCCTCAAACGCATTACCCCCACCCCCTTTCATCCCCAGCACAAGCAACCTGGCTTCCAGCAGTCTCATTACTTTGTGGCTCTCTATCGGTTCAAAGCCCTGGAAAAGGACGATCTGGATTTTCCGTGAGAGGCCTTCAGAGGAGAGGGTGGGGAGTACTGGGGAATGAAGAAGGGAGAGCTTGACTCCCTATGGGAAATGAAAAGGGGGAACCTCAAGCTTGGATCCTATTTGGGCTGGACTTTTCGGGGCACACCCAGGGAGTGGTATATGAGGCAGGCGACTAAATCTCAAAGGCCTCTTCCTTCCTCTCCCAGGCCCGGAGAGAAGATCACAGTCATTGATGACTCCAATGAGGAGTGGTGGCGAGTAAGAGAAATGGCAGGGGCTAGGGGTGGGGTATGTGTTAAATATAAAACCTAAAGTGAGAGATTGAATCTCCCCATTGTCTTCCTTAGGGGAAAATCGGGGAGAAGGTTGGATTTTTCCCTCCAAACTTCATCATTCGAGTTCGGGCTGGAGAACGCGTGCACCGTGTAACAAGATCTTTCGTGGGGAACCGCGAGATAGGGCAGATCACTCTCAAGAAGGACCAGGTATCTCTGGTGCCCCAACCGAATCCCAAGCCTGAATGCTCCTCAGCAGGTCACACTCCTTGGAGATCATAACCCATTAATGAGACTAAGACGAGCTTCTGTACCCCAAGATCCGCTGCTCTCATCTTCTGCCTTTTCCCTCAATTCCTCTCTTAGTCTCTAATACTTTAATTTTCTAGATCGTGGTGCAGAAAGGAGACGAAGCCGGCGGCTACGTCAAGGTCTACACCGGTCGCAAGGTGGGGCTGTTTCCCACCGACTTCCTAGAGGAGATTTAGGCTTGAGGGCGCCTGCAGTCGGGAGACACCCATCCCCATTCTGGGCGGGCCCAGGGGAGGTTGGGGAGAAAAGAGACAAAAGCAACTGGACTGCTGGGGGCGTGGGGTTTAGGAAGGCTCTGGGAAGGGACTGGTTCCTGCCTCCCTCCCCACCCCTGGCCTAGGGCCTCGGATACCTGGTACTCGAGCAGCCCGCAACTTCTCCGCCCATCTTGAGAGAGAAGACATCTCCACTAAGGAGGCGTCCGGGGGTATTGCGGGTACGAACTTATTTGAATGCTGCAAATTTATTAAAGTTTTGACAAGCCGAGCACTGTAGTGTGCGCTTGTAATCCCAACAAATCGCGAGGCTGAGGCAGAAGGATCCTAAATTCGATCGCAGCCTCAGCAATTTTGTGAGACCCTGTCTCAAAAAAACAAACAATAATAATAATATTTTAAAAACTGGGATGTAGCTCGTTGGTAAAATGCTCGAGGGCTTAATCCGCGGTACCAAATAAAAGTTTTGACAAAAGTTAGAAAAGTTCGTTCTTTGGGGACGAGAAGGCCTGCAATGAAGTGGGAATACTCTCCAGATGTCCCCAGTCTCTCCCATAAGGTATCAAACTTATCTGGGCTGAGACTGATGGTAGGCAGGGGGATAGGTGAATCGTCAGGCGAGGCCTCTTTTGGCAATGAAGAGGGGGGAGCTGGACTGGAGTCGTCATCCCAGAGCTCCCACTGCTGGAAGCAGGATTGCGTGTCAGGATAGGTATCCCAGCTCTTGACGGTTTAGCCGCGGGCGGCCCTTTGCATTTTAGAAACTGGCTCAGCGCCGAGTTAGGCCACCAGGGGGCGATGCAAGATCTCGGTTGGAGAGCGAAGGATGGGGACAGGCTGTAGCGGGTGGACAAGGGTAGAAAACGAGAGACACCAAGCCTGAGACCCTAGGCCTGGAGGGGGTGGGGTGCGTGCCGTCTCCATGGCAACACTTCCTCAAGTCCTCCGGGAACCCAGTTAGCGAGGCCGGGGGGCCTAACCCCTCCCTCGCGGCCCCTGCCCTAGTCCTTTCCGACAGGTACTGAGTGTGAGGACTCGGGGCAGACAGCTAACTGGCTTTCGCCGAGACCCCCCCCTGCGGCGCGCTGTATGCAAATGTTATTATTTGCATATGCAAATATGCAAATAMACCGGCCCTGGTCAGGGCGGCAGGTGGCGAGGAGCGGGAAGGTGTGGGGAAGAGAGCAGAAGGAGACGAGGAGATTGGGGACCTGGGAACCGACCAGTGAAAGGCAGCCTTGGGTGGTCGCTGGAGTGAGGCAGGCTGAGGGTCTTGGGCTTGATGGCCGGTGGGGGAGGGTCAGCCTGGCCAGCCAGAAGCTCCTCTTCTCGTCAGTCCGTTGTCTGCCAGGACTGAGGTTGGCACCGCCTAGCAAGGTTGGCAGCGGGAGCCCGGGCACCATCTGCTGCTGGCGGAGGGAGGGCAGAGGCTCAGCTGGGCTGGGGAAGTGGAGGGCCCGGGACGGGCGTTCTCCCCCTCCCCGCCTCTTCCTTACAGAAGGCTGAAGTGATGGGGGTAGGGAAACAGGCAAGACTCGCTGCAGGACTGGATTCAGTTTCTTGTTCCCTTTTGCCCTTGACTGTCCCGGATGCGGGGGTAGGGGGCAGGGTCATTCAGGAAGACTCAGGCAGCACCCGTTTTAATCACGCATGGGTTAGGTTAGGGACAGGTCACAGGCACACGCACACACCACAATCACAAGTCAACCTTTTACTCCCATCCCTCCTCGGGATCCGCCTATCATAAGTGTGTGAAGGAGAGACAGCAGCGGGGCTCTGATCACCTCTATTCATCAAGAGGTCTGAGGGGCTCAAAACCGGAGGCCCTCTCTCCTGGGACCACACACACACACACACACACACACACACACACACACAGCTGAAGCAAAACCAATTTACTGGCTCATTGGGCGGCGATGCTGGTGTGGGGGTGTCGAGGAGCAGGGAGAGCGGCTGTTCTCCCCTTACACTCGGGGGGGGCGCCCCCCTCCTTCGCCTTACCGAGCCGGCAGCTGTCCCTAATTAGAGCGGTGGTTTAATTGGATTTATCAGCAGTTAATAGGAAATTAAGCAAAGGGCCCGAGAGAAGGGGGGCGGGAGGAGCCAGGAAACAGACTGTGCTGAGCTGGAAGGAGGGGTATTGGGGTGCCAGGGGTGGGGAGAGAAGACACAGTATCACAACTGAGCCCCAAGATCACTCCCTTCTTCTGCTCAATAAGCTCCAGGCGGATTGAGCCCTGGCCCGAGGGCCGGAAGCAAGTCCCAGGAGGGGGCGTCAGGCAAGACAGCAACCCTGTTTGAGCCCCCAGCGCCTCCCATTCCCACAGCAGCCGCCTGGGTGATGGATGATGCTGCCTCAGGCTGCAAAGGTCATAAGTCTGGGCCAAGGAGCAGACTGAATTGAAAATAGATCAGAGAAAGGGCCAGGGTACTAGGGTCCAAGACTCAACTTGCGTCCTACCCCTCTCTACTGCCCAGTCTTGAAGTCAGAAGATTGGGCAGCAAGGATGTCAAGGTTGGGTAGAGAGGTGGGACTCTCACTTTGAAGCCCTCTTGGGGGATCCTGGGAATCTCCCAGTGCAGCTGCCACTGTCCTCCAGTGGTCCTACCCCACCTTCCTCAACTGCATGAGTCAGGGCAGCAACCCACTGGGACTGCTTGCAGTGGATGTCCAAGGACCACACCACCCTCTCTGAGGACCAGGGAAGGAAGCTTGCAGGCTGCCAAGAGGGGTCTACAGGCCTCTGAGTCCACAGCCCCAGGTGCCTCCTGTCAGCATTATCTCATTACACTGCTGGGCTAACAAGGTCTGCTCTAGGGGCCCTGGCGACCTCTGAGCCACACTTCACCCAGAGGAGGACAGATGGCAGCTCCTGAATATGTGTAGGTTTGAGTCTCTGAGTGGCTGTGGGTGGTAAGGTCTTTCTGTGCCCATGACAATTATGAGCACCGGTACTCCTGGTGTGTGTTGTCTGTGCCCTGGGTGTGTGAGCCCCAGATTTATGTCCATTTATGGGCTCTGATTTTGTGTCTGTCCCTGAAAGTAGGTATTGTTGGGTTTGCCTATTTCCCACTCCCAAGCTCATCTCTGATTTCCAAGCCCCAGGGTGTCTAGGTGTCTGGATGTTGATATGTGCTTTGGTGTGTCTGTGTTTATGCGCTCTTCACGCCTGGGTGTGCCCCAGCTGCGTGSAAGCATCTCCTTGTGTCTCTGCCTTCAGGCCTGTATGTGTGAAAATCAGGAAGAGCCACTGGTGAGTGTGTGTTTCTCCAGCATCTCCTCCTGCAGGTGTGTGACAGTGAGTGGGCGTGTGCTGGGTGTGAGCCGCGCGGCGGCGGTGTATATCCGAATGACAGTGTGATACGCGCGTGTATGTGAATATGCGCACGCGCGCGTGACTGGGTGAGTCTCCCGCCCCCGCTCCTTCCTCTCCCTATTTCTATTCCTCTCTCCTCTCCCGACCGGCTCGGCTCCGCCGTCCGCATCATCTCCATCCATTATTGAAGAAACAGCCGCGTCCGCTCCAATCACATCAACACCCCAGCCCCCTCCCCGTTCCGCTCGCCCGGTGGCCCCTCTGGGTGCTGTGGAGGGGGAAAGCCCAGACGCAACGGGGGCGCCGGGCGGGAGCGGATCATGACCCTGTGCTCCAAGCTGAGCCAAACACCGGGACGCCGGGGTCCCTGGCGGAGAGCGCTTTGCATAAACAGATGGCACCGGCGTCTTTGTCTCATTCTCTTGCTCACTCGCCGCGCAGCTCCCGGCTCCGCTTCTGTCTGACTGATGCAATCATGATCATCTTGGAGCCTCGGGACCCCGCGCCTTTAATAGTGGCACAGAGGGTCAGGGGGCCCGGGGGCTCCCAAACAGATGTTGGGCACTGTTTCCCTTCCGGGCGCCCTCTCCACATCCCACAGCTGCAGCAGGAAGATCGAGGCCACTCCGAGGTGATGGGCATGTGGAGGTGACCAGGGAGGGAGACCCTGAGCAGTGTACTGAGGTGTCTCGAGGCTGTCCCATTGGACTGCTRCCGCCTCACAGGAGCAGCAAGCCAGAGAATAGGAATAGAGGTGGAGAATAGACAGAAGGGGGAAAACAGAGAGAGACAGAGCAAGGCGTTTGTAAAGATAGACACAGGGAGATAGAGAAATGTAGAGGAAAGGAAAGACACACAAGAAAGAGAAACATGCAGAAGGACAAAGCCAGGTAAAGGGAGAGCAGCAGGGAGACATACACAACCAGAATATAAGAAACAGACACAGACACACAGAGACACACTCAGAGACAGCGGTAGTCAGACAAATGACTCAAAGAAGAAAGAAGGGCAGAGGCAGGCCAAGTCAGAGTGTGAGTTTCGTTTCGGGACCTATAGCCCCAGAGTGGGCGTCCGAGTCCGGCATGGTGAGAGGAACCAGCCTGAAGCTGAGATACTGCTTGCAGCAATCTTCCGCAGCAATCCTCCAAGACCCTTCTGCGGTCTGTGGCCCCACCTCACACCAGAAGAGTGAAGGCTGAGGGACTTACTGTCTTCGTGGCGGGCGTAGCGGGAGTGACCCGTGGGGAGTGAACCTATACGTTCGCAGGCTTAGACTTACCTGCCCGAAAACTGGGCATGTTAAGGGCCGGCACTTCCTAACCAGAGAGCGGAAGGCCTCTCCCCGGAGTTTGGGAGCCGCTCCTCCTCCAGGGGGCGCTCGCGACCACCATCCCGGGAACAGGGTAGCACCCGCGAGCCTAACTGTGTTTGACGCGTTGCGCTGCCASCTAGAAGATTTGGGTCCTAGTGGAATTTAGTGTTCACTCTGGTCCGGACCCGACCCCAGGACGCGCCTAACTCATGGCTAATGTCTCCGGCGGTCCATCACCTCGGTGGGCCAGCGCGGCCTTCCAGAGTCATTGTGGTGAGAAAGTGCAGGGAAGGGGGGCGGGTAGGGAGAGAAAGAGGGAGGAAGGTGGGGGAAGAGAACCCAGAAGTTCTGTGTTCCAGCTCAGCCCCAGAGATCATGGTCCAGGGATGTGAACCAAAAAAGAATAGGCTCACAGAAACTAGGACCACAAGCAGGTAAAAAGCCAAGGAGTCAAGGAAGGCCAATATTGGARGGTCAGAAAGCCGGCTGAAGCCCAAGGCAGGATAAACAGTAGCAGTTGCAGCAAAGAAGCGGGATTGAGGGTCTGTGTCACCAGAACTCAGAAGAAACTGCGGAGGGAGGAAAATGAGGGCCTCAGAGCAAAGGAGCCCGGGCAAGAGCCAAGGATCCCTCCTGGTGTTCTGACTCCTCAGCTGTGCCTCAGAATGCCAGATGTGCAGCCCAGCTGGGCAGCCGCTCTAGCTAGAGCTCCGAGATTTTTAGCCCCAGAGACCAGCRGGCTGAGGGGCTCTGTGTGACAGGACACCTCCTCCCTGGCCCAGCCCTGGAGGTGCGGGCGCTCAGGGAGGGYTCTGCGCTGCTGGAGGCTCTGACATTCCCGTCAGCACCCCCAACACACACATCGCAGCGAGTCTCTGTCTCTTTGTTCTCGCCATGTCTCTGACACTTTATCTCATTATCCGCCGGAGGGAGGCGGAGAGCCCCGGACCCCGCAGCCTAATTACAGCTGCGCTTGTCAGCCCAGGGCGGGGGAGGTATCAGTGTGAGAGAAAGGGAGGGGGTCTTCAGGAACAGCCTTCTCCTTTTCAGTACYCCTGAGGGGCCCAGCGGCGGGTACACAGCTCGCTCGCCCCTGCCCGTGCAGCCATAGGGCGGGTACCAGAGAATAGAAGTGGGAGACCTCGGCAAGATCCCAGCCGCAGAGGCGGGAGCTGATGGTTGAGGTTAGCGTGGGAGTGGGAAAAAGCGGATGAAGCGGGCTSCTGCTTCCCCAACACTTCCAAGTCCCCAAAAACCGGGGGTTGGAGCCTTTCCATCCTGGCAGCATAGCATACACCTGAATTGGCTGAATAAGAGGCAATCACTCTGCAGTTCTGTCTCTGTGCCTTTTTCTTTTTCCTACTTCATCTTTTCTATCTTTGCTGGCTTCCTCACTCCATTCTCTTCTTGTCCTACAGCCAGAGACAGAGGTGGAGGATAGCCTCTTTGGTGGTGGTAGTGGGGCTCCACCTTCACTTCTACCCCAGGTTGCCAAGGCAGTCAAGTCTCTCAGACTCCCAAACTGCCACAACTGACCTTCTGTCCTGACTCAGATACACCTGACTTATCCAGCCTCCAAGTATTATTCCAGGGCAACCACAACCTGGAGAAACTGCTCACAAGAGTGGCTGGGCAACTCTAGTGAGGCCATCCATCCCCCTCCTTCTCCCACTACTCTGATATAGGGCAGAACCAGGATCATCAGTAACTGGTAGCTCCTGGGTGGCTCTAGGGGTGAGGGGTGTCAGGAAAGCTCTGCAGATGCCCTCACTGGTCCCTCGTCCCTCTGGTCCCACCTGTGAATACTTCACACGTGCTTGTTGCAGGTCTGTCAGTTTGTCCCACTTTTGTATCACCCTTCAGTCAGTCTCTTGGTGCCTGTGGGGCCCCTCTCTGAGAGACCTAAAGCCCCAAGTAAGATATTGTCCCATGGGCCAGGGTGCAGGCACATAGAGGAGAGAGTTGGGGAGCAGATACTTTCTGACTTCCCAACAATTCCCATGTCTGCTTTGGGATTGCCGGGCTTAAGCGAGCTGGGTGGGGTTTGGCGTCGGAAAACGCCAGCGGGCTGGGCTAGGTTGACCCCTCCCTGGTGGGGGGCGGACCCCAGGAGAAGAAATAGAGAAGAGCCACAGAAGAGCACCAGGCACTGGAAAGGCGTTATGGCAGGAACCAGTCTAGGGGCCCGCTTCTACCGGCAGATCAAAAGACATCCGGGGGTGAGTTCAGTCCTCAGAACTTGGGATTCTAACTCCTAACTCTCATGCTGTCCTACCCCGAAAGTCCTCCAGAACCCTGCCTCCTGCCCAGTTCCCCCAGTGCTCCAAATCTTCCCTTGGAGACACCCCTCCTCAATCTATCCCTGCAATATGCCTCCATGCCTGGAAATTACCTCGGTCAGTTTGGCTGAGGGGTAAGGAAGACCACAGAACCAGACCTTGGGTGGTTTGGCAGACAGAAAAATTTAACTTGTAAAGTTAATGGGAACTATGAGGAGGGGGCTGACCTTGAAAGTGCCCTATGTTTTCTTTGCAGCTCATCCCAATGATAGGTTTCATTGGCCTGGGCATGGGCAGTGCTGCACTCTACTTACTGAGACTGGCCCTACGCAGCCCGGACGTATGGTAAAGGCTGGGCTTGGGACTGCAAGCAAGGGTCCTGGGTGTGGCAAGGTAGAGTGGGAAGGCTTGGACCTTTCTGGAACAATGAGAATCGGTAGCCCTAGCAAGAATCCTAAGGCATCTGGTATCTTGGGGCTGGAACCCTGACTTGGGAGACCCCTGTCTTCCTTCTATCCCACCTGACTGCTAGACTTGCTAGTTTGGAGCCAGCTGAACCTGTGTGGCTCCAAGGCCCTGTTGCCATGGCAACGCTGCTCTGCTGTCACTGCGGGCTTTTGGGTACCTCTGTGTCCTTGCAGGTAGACTGGGGGTATGGCTGGGTGAGCTACTGGGGGTGTCAGTGGAGCTGGGGAGGTGCTAAGACTTAACACCCTGCTGGGAAGCAGCAAAGATTGATTGCTTTCATAAGAAAAAGATGCACCTACCCACTGCACTGTCCAAATTCAAGGACTGAAACCCCTGCCCCTTGATATCTGCCCAATTCCCAAGACTCTGCTCTGAGGGGTTAACCTAGGGTAGCAGGAAGCTAGGGGTAGGGAGTCCCTGGACTGGGTTGTCTTGTCACCAAGCCTCACTCTTGACAATGGTGACAAGCTTCTTGTCTCACTTGTCAGCACCCACTAACATGCTCCTTCCCATCAGTCTCTAGGAAATGGGACCCCAAGGTAGGAGACACAGAGGGGGTTCTAGGGTGGGGTCAGAGCCCTAGCTGGAACCCAGTCCCAGATTAGAGACTCTAACACTCCCCTCTCTTCCCTAGCTGGGACCGGAAGAACAACCCAGAACCCTGGAACCGTTTGAGCCCCAATGACCAATACAAGGTACTTCCAGGTGACTCTAGGGCTGCTTGCCCATCACTCATCTCCTAGTGCTTCCCTTATGGGGCAAAATGGGTCTATCAGGACAACTCTCCTTTCCCTCTCCTCTTAGTTCCTTGCGGTTTCCACTGACTATAAGAAGCTGAAGAAGGACCGGCCAGACTTCTAAACAGACTGGGCTCATGAGTTTGATGTAAACCACACACTCATTTCTTCCATTCCCTGCTCTCAGACCCTGGGGCATCAGTCTGGCCATTCTGTCAAGTTCCTGCTTATACAGGCTGGGTTCCCACGCAAAGAACAACTCCAACCCCCACCATCCTCCCTCACTCCCATCAGCGGAAGCGCCTCTGACCCTTGGATTGAGTCCCACATGGGGGAGGGGAGTCAGGGCGGCAAGCAGCAGCTGGGTCCAACCCAAAGGGCCCAAGCCAGCCCCTCTGCTCTCCTACCCTGTACTTGCAGGGTGTGGTGCAAGCTACGTGTTAAGCGTGGCCTACGTGAGCCAACAACAAGCAGGGACCTGAGTGCCAAGAGACGTGGCAGGCCCCATGTTAACCCAGGCTCTGAGTGCCTGCCTAGGGGCGGTGCTGCTCAGGCTCGACTGGGCTCGTCGCCTATGCCCAGCCTGCTTAGGCTGGGGCACCCATGCCATGTTACATGCTCCTCCCTTGCCCAAGCCTGCTGCCTCCCACACCAATAGCAACCCCTCCCTGTAAGCACCTGGCCTTCCCCCCAGCAGCTTCCCACTGCTCCTCTCCCCTCCCTTCCCTTGCTCCCTTCTGTCCCAGGGGATCAAACAGAAGCAGCCGTGGGCAAAATACAATTTCATTTAACAAATTGAATTTGCTGCGCCTGCTAATCACGTCTGGTGTCGGCTCTGATCAGAGACATAGAGGAGGCTGCAGCCTCCTGGGGCCTTGTGGTGGTGGTGGTGGTGGTGGTGGTGGTGGTAGGGAAGGGAGGAACACACTTTGAAGGAGTCAAATCATCTGCTGGCCCAGGTGACCCCTCCCACAGTAATAGAAACTCCTGGGCAGGTGAGCATTTTATTAGATTAAAAAAAAGGAAGTGTGCCACCCACCCCTTCCTCTGGCTCAGCTGGGTAACTCTCCCACCTTAAGAAAGAGCAAGAGTCTATATAATACTGATAATGGCAGAGGATTAGGGCAGAAAGCTGGAGGTAGAGTGGGGCTCCTTCTAAATCTAGTTACAAAAAAGAAACCTCAGCTACAAATTCTGGCAAGGGGACTATATCTCCTCCACCAAAAAATAGAATGGTAAGTAATAGTATGCCCTTCCACTGGCCCAGGTGAGGCAGGCGGGGGACAGGGGTAGTAATTTCCAGTCTGTGGGTCTTGATTCCCAGGTGTTTTCAGCGCTCATCAAAACCAGGCATAGGGAAGGCCCTGGCAAATTGCTCCACCCTTTGCCTGAGGTTGGCCAGGTGCTGGCTTGTTTCTGGGTCCTTGAGTAGGAAGGATTTGAAATCCTGGAGCTTGGCTAGAGCGGTGAGGGGGGAAAAAAAAAAAGTTAGCATTGTATGGAAGGCAGTGAGATCAGCTGGGGGAGGGAGCACAGTGAGACAAAGAGGCTGGCTAGGGGGCTCTTTCTTTGTCTGCTTACCAGTCTTGCTCTTCACCTTCAAACCGATGTTGACTCCTTCATCAATGAAGTCCACAACTCTCCGGAAGTCATCCTCACGGAATTGCCGAGAGGTCAAGGCTGGGGCCCCTGGAGAGGCAGGAAAGAGGATTAGTATAGCTAAGGTCACCCGTTGTGGGCGTCCTTCCCTCCCTGAGCCCCAGATCTCACCAAGCCGCAGGCCCCCGGGGGTGATGGCACTTCGGTCTCCAGGACATGTGTTCTTGTTGGCAGTGATGGACACAAGCTCTAGCACCCGCTCAGCCCGAGCCCCATCCAGGCCTTTTGGCCGCAGATCTACCAGCACCAGGTGGTTGTCAGTGCCACCTGAGGGGGTTAATAATCAGGGAGTGGTGAGTCTGGTGCACCTGCTTGAGGCTATAAAAGCCCTCACCCAGCCCCCTGGCTCACCAGACACCAGTGAGTAGCCTCGCTCTAACAGGGCATCAGCCATGGCCCGAGCATTCTTCAAAACCTGTAGGGAGTACTCCCGGAACATGGGGGTACAAGCCTGGGAATGAGACAGTAGCACCTGTGACTCCAGGCCCCTGGACCCAAGTCTACTTCTTCTGCCCCTTCACACAGCATGGCTCCAGGACCCCAGCTTTGACACCTCCCGTCCTGGCAGTTCCCTTCCATCAGTTTCAACTTTAGTTACCAGAAGCATTTACGTCTTGGGACCAATGTCCCCCCCACCCCCATAGGGCAGGCTCCCCAACCTGTTTTAGGGCCACTGCTACTGCAGCAATGGCATGATTGTGTGGGCCGCCCTGCAAGGATGGGAACACAGCAAAGTTGATTCGGTCCTCAAATGTGTAAGGTATCTCCCTGCCAGTCTTGGGGTCCACAGACTGTACCCCTTTCCGATAGAAGATGAGTCCTGACCTGTGTAGAAGGTGAGTGGTTAGAATCTAAGCTAAAAATAAAAGAGATAAGGATTGGGGAGATCAGAGGAGGTTGGCTGGATTGGGCTGTCGAGGCCTCTCAGAGTCACCTTAGTTGTCCTTTGTACAGYGGATTCCAGTGGTGGAGGGAATCAGCCCCTCACTCCCACTCACAAATCCCCTGCCAAGGAATGGCCATCAAAAGCAAGAAAAGGAGAACCATCACAGACTAAACGGAAGTCTTCCGGGGTATAGGTAGGAATGAATTCTCAGATCCAGCCTAGAGCAGGGTGTGAAGGCAGGAAAAGGCAAGGCATGATCTCAGGGAACCTGACCTGGCCCCTCGAAGAGTCTTGTGAGTGGTGGTGGTGACAATGTCCGCATGCTTGAAAGGTGAGGGGATCACCTTGGCAGCCACCAGGCCACTGATGTGGGCCATGTCTGCCAACAGGTGTGCCTTGACTTCATCACACACCTGGACAGGTACAGAGATAAGCCTCAGCCTGGGGAAGGCCCAGACAGGCATACCCAATGCTACCCCCCAATCTCTCCACCAAACCCTGAGACAGTGCCAGTACTCCAGCCCCCCACCAACCTCTCTCATGCGGGCATAGTCAATGAGGCGAGCATAGGCACTGGTACCAGCTATGATGAGCCGTGGTCGGAAAAGCCGAGCAGTCATTGCCAACTGGTCATAGTCAATGAGTCCGGTTTGGGGCTGGACAGACAGATAAACAGCTAAAGGCCTGAGATGGCAATAGTGCTTGTCCCTTCTTCACCCTGAGGGCTGCCCAGAGCTCTAGCCCCTCCCACTGCCCAGCAGAACCAGGGCCTGGGCAACTACCTCCTACACCCTAGAGCACTCACATTGAGTTTATAGGGCATAGACTCAAAGAAGATAGATGTGGCAGAGATCCGCTTGACGTCAGACATGTAGCCATGGGTGAGACTAGGAAGTGAGACGAAATAAGGAGGTCTCAGAGTGTAAAAACTCAACTTCCTCACTCCCTTCCTACCCATCTCCAATGTCTGTCCCGAGCTTGCTGCATCTCATTTCTCTGTCCACTCTGTGGTGGACACTGTTGTGACTGCGATCTTATCTTCCTCATCCACTGTAACATGCAGGACAGGGAGAGGTATCTCTCATACATATGGAACACAGTGGGTATGCAATAACTCCTTTGCCACATTAGTACTGTCTACAGCCCAGCATCTGCCCCATCCATACTCACTGGCCCCCATCAGGCAGGTCCAACCCCATGAGTCGGTCATGTGGCTGCAGAAGGGCGGTGTAGGCAGCCAGATTGGCTGGGGACCCTGAGTAGGGCTGGACATTCACTCCCCACTGAGCAGGATCCAGGTCAAAGGCTTCCAAGGCCCGGCGCTGGCACAGCCGCTCAATTTGATCCACTACCTCTGCTCCCCCATAATATCTGCCATGAAGAGAGGTACATAAGGGCACAGAGAAAGGACTCTAGACCAGCAGCAAAGGACTGGGAAGGCCACTGCTCCATAAATACTGGAGGGTACAGGAAGGTTCCACCACTGGGAGCACCATCCCTGATGTTGCCCTCCAGCCCTCTGGTGCCTAGCCCTCACCTCTTGCCAGGATAACCCTCCGAGTACTTGTTGTTCAGACAGGACCCCAGGGCCTCCAGCGCAGCTCGGCTGCAGAAGTTCTGGGGTGATGGGGGGGGCAATGTCAGAAGGTATTGAGTCCCTTCCCCTGGACCCCCATAGCCCCGCCCTGCCAGAGCCTGCAGGCTGCAGGGGGGGGGGGAGTCAGGCTGTACAAAAAGCTGTTAATTCTGGGTTCTTTGCCAAGCATGGGGCAGGGCCAGAAGGAGCATTCTCAGAAACTCAGCTGCYATGATGTTGTTCCCAGTAAGGTCACCTGTCCACTCAAATTTGTGTTTCCAGGCTCCTCTTTCCTCTTGGGAGGCAGAGAGGGAATAGTTGAAGCTGTAGGGACTCTGGAAGGTTCTGGAAACTTCCTAATGCCCCAAAATCCATAAACTGGCCTTGCTTTTGCTTCAGAGGAGAATAAAGAGAGGGAAATAAAGCCCAGCAGAAAGGCCCTGAGTCTGACAAGGAAATTTGAAGAAATATTGGCAAGATAGCTTGTTATTACCTATACCCACCCCCCTACCCTGTCTCCCCAGCTCCCACCTCTGAGGCAATGAGCTCCAGGCCACGACACTGCCTGTCCTTCTCCTTCTGTAGTAGTTCCCACATCTCAGGGTCACTGTCTGACAGACTCTCCTGGCCTGTCCAACCTGTGGTTGCTTCTCCAGTCTGAGTCTGGGCCACCTTGCTGTGCTGAGCTCGAGTAGCCATCCTGACCAGTTGGTCACATCTCTGCAGAGGCTAGGGGCAGGAAAAGCTATGGTCAAATAAAAATTGTAGATACAAATAGTCTCCCAATCACCCCCAGCCATGCTTATACAGCCCTCTGGCTCTGTACCAGGCAGCCAGTTGTCCAGCCAGACTGTTCCAGTTCTTTCCACCCCCATCTCCACCTTTAAAAGCCAGTTCTAGATCCAAGGTTGAGATCAATGTCCAGAGGGGTAATTCTGATTCGTTCCACTCACCTCACCTCAGACTCTCTCCACCTCAACCCATGAGCCACTCTGCAAAGCCATAGGGCAAAGCTTATTCTCCAGAAGCCCCTGTCTCCCAAATTCAGGAGCGAGCCAGAGACTCCAGAACCTCCCCACCCATAGGAACAAAGGGGCCTTTCTTCAGGGCCTCCACAAACTGATACCCCAGTCAGGAGAAGAGACCAAACTGACAGGGGTTAAGGCCACAGGCTGTAGAGGTGGTTTCCAGAGCAAAGGAGRTGGGAGGGCAGACCTGAAGCAGTCCCTGGGAAAGAGGTATTGGGGGTGGGAGGATGTATGGGGAAGGGGTGGATCCGCAGGGAGGCCCAACCCATATCCTGTCCCCATGTCACAGTCGTACCCCCCCCCTTTACACTTCCTTCCAGCCCACACTGCCGCAGGACCCCAGCCTGATGAAAGCTGTGGGGCTTGGTTGCATCATCTGCATGGTTCAAGAGCTGGCGGGAAAGGCTCGGGTTGCGGGTCGATGACGAGAACCCACTCGTTAGCCAGCACAGTGTCTGTTTAGCAGCCGGCGCAGTCCTCTCCCCTAATGCCACGTTAAATGGGCGGTCACGAGGCCCTGGGGCATCTGACCGCCAGAACGAAGAGAGAACCCAGTTCACCCCACGAGCGCCCGGGAGTTTCAGGGATTCCCTAGTTACACATCCGCTGAGGCCCAAGAACACGTGCAGTGTAAAAGCCAGGAGAATTTGAGAGTTTGTGAATGGGCAAAGGTAGGAAGTAGGACTAGTCACTGGTTATCCAGTCTCCGGAGCCCCGTTCTTACCCGAGCCACCCGGAGGAAAGAAAAGGGCAGCATCGCAACTCCACGTCGCAGGAGGTACAGCCACCAACTCTGGTCGGAGAGTAGCAAAAGGTTGGAAAACACCGTTCAGAGAGCGCATGCGCGAGAACGACCCGAGAAGCCCGGCAAGGGAGGGAACACGCGTGCGCAATGGGGCCACCTTTGTGGCCTTTTGGGAATTGTAGTTTTCTTCCGCTTCATTCCACATCTGTAGCCCCAAGGCTAAAGAACCTTGATTAAAAGAATACTGGACTGCTACATATTCTAACTATCCTGAAGATATCCGGGATTTCTTTTTCCTGTCAATTGTTAAGACAAGCGTTTATTGGATATCTACTGAATATCGAGTATTCTTAGGCTCTCTGGGAAATCCAGAGACTCCCATACAAGATAGGGTAGTGCTGTGGAAATCGCTGTGGTTTGAAAGGATGGGACACTTGAGTTCAAGTTTCAACTCCAGGTAGTAGCAAATTAGCTTGCTGTACCTCAGTTTCTTCATTTCTAAAGTCATAATAAAATATCATGCGGTGGGGATGAAATGAGACTTCGTATGTGAACATGAGATTCCATGGATTGTCTTCCTCCTATTCCTCTGAGTCACAAAACTGCTTCCTCCTCCAAGGCTATTTTCTCCTTCTCAGACAGCTTAAAGGAGAATGAGGTGTCCCCTCCTGTTGCATTTATTCCATTTTGTTACCTGTCCACTTGATATCCTGTACTCAGTGAGTCATCTTTATTTATTTATTTATTATCTATTTATTTTATGGTACTGAAGCTTGAACTCAGGAGGCTCTGCCACTGAACCACATCCCCAGCCCTTTTAAAATTTTATTCTGAGATGGAGGTCTCCCTAAATTGCCTAGGCTGGTTTCAAACTTGTGATCCTCCTGCTTCAGTCACCTGAGTAGCTGGTATTACAGGTACAGGGTTGGCCACTGTGCTTGGCTAGAGGACTTCCTTTTAGTCTTACTGTATCTGGATAAAACCCCTGAGTAAGGTACTCATTGATATCTTTTTTTTTTTTTTTTTTTTTTTTTTTTAGTTTTTGGCGGACACAAGATCTTTGTATGTGGTGCTGAGGATCGAACCCAGGCAGCACGCATGCCAGGCGAGAGTGCTACCGATTGAGCCACGTCCCCAGCCCCTGATATCTTTTTTTTTTCAATAATTTTTTTTAGTTGTAGATGGACCAATAGCTTTATTTCTTTTATTTTTATGTGGTGCTGAGGATGGAACCCAGTGCTCACATGCTCACACGTGCTAGGCAAGTGCTCTACCACTGAGCTACAACCCCACCCCTAATTGATATCTTCAACAAAAGATTTCCAAATGACTGGGGAAAAAGGGTGCTCTAAATGAATTTCAAAGACACATCCAAACCTCTTCTCAATGATTCTGATAAGCATTAGTTTTAAAAACCATTGCATTACACAGCACCATTACACATAAATTAATTCAATACACATATTGACCTTCTACTTCATGCCAGCATGCCATTGCCCTGAGATACCAGAAGAGCTCACTGACTACTGGGACATAAAGAAATGAACAGATGACAAAATTCAACAGGTGCAATGTGACTTTTTTACTTATTATGTCTTTACAGTTGGGGAGATTGAGGCCTAGATAGGCTAACTTGCTGATTCCATTCATACCTGTCTTTCATATCAGGCCTCAGAGTCCCTCCCTAGATCTAACTTCCTTCCCACTCTGGCTCTCAGCTTTTCCAGGTGTTCTCAGCAATAAGCCTTGTGTAAGGAGACTTCTTTGCTCTTCTTCCTCCAATCTCTAACCCAGAACCTCTCTCCATCTTCCTTCTTTCACTTGATCCCATTATTTATCCATTCATCCATCTGATATATACTTTCTGCTCACCAACTTTTCACTCTCAGGCATGTTGGGGAGTCATTGTCAGGCCAGAGCCAGTGGACAATCCCTTGGTGAGCACTGATCTCTGCCTGTGGGCATCTTGACCCCGGACTTCTCAGAAAGAAAGCAGGATGAAGAGGAGTTGTTCCTCTATGCCTCAGCTTGTCTGCACCCCTTCTTACCCCAGTCACGGGGGTCCCAAGGGGAGGGGGGCTGCTGAGCTGAGAACTGTTAATGAAACCGCAGCCAATTAGCGCCCGGGCCAGGGTTGGGGGCGGATAAAATTAGCAGCAGAGGCTGCAGGAGGGAGCTGAAGGCGCGGGTGGAGAGGGTGGGCAGCTGGCTGAAAGGGGCTGTGTTTGCTGGCGGCTAGCAGCAGCGACGAGGCCCCGCCCTCCAAACCTGCGCTCATCCCTTCCCCCATCTCGTCATCCCAAAGCTCCCTCCCTTCTTCGTCCGTCTGCAAACTCAGCGCCCACGAAATTAGGAAGGAAAAGGAAGATCGATGACTCCAGATGCCGCAAACACTGTTCCCCCTCCCTCCCAAGCTACCTCCTCCTCCAAGCCCCGCGGAGCTTAGCAGGTTGTTAGCGCTCTGCCTATTCTGTCCCTGAATCTCCCTCTTTTTCAAGTCATCCCAAATAGTGCGTTGGTAGTTCCCACTCAGATCTAACACTCATTCTATCTGCAACAGCTTCGTTTTGCCCTCTGCAGAGAGGGGAATCCCCACCCCAGGCAGAGTTCTTACTCCAAGGGTCTGATACATTTCTCTGTGATCCAGTCTTGGATGATCTCCAAGGTGCTAGCTCTGTCACCTTTGCCTCAGTTTCTCCATCAGCCACGGATGGAGGAGGCCCTGGCCAGGTCTCTATCAGACAGAAATCCACATCTGTCTCCCTCTTCCCTACAAAGGTCTCACACAGACACGTATTGGATTTCACTTTATTTTGTTCCCTTTCCCGTCTGTTTTGGCGTAGAAAAAAAAATATATCACCGAGAGGAAGCAGCCAGAGAGGGCAGGTGGAACTGGACTGCACCGACAWGAGGGAAGCAAGCAGAGGGCAGGGGCCAGGCTGAGCGCCCCTGCTTAGGAGTTCTGCTTCTGCGAGGTTGGGAGGAAAAAGGGACAGGCAAACGGCAGGCAGAGAGGGATAAGGATAGGCCAGGGGTTTAACMGACCTTTAGTCTTTACCAGGGGCACAGGAGAACAAGCGCTTGGGGGCCAGAATATCTGGGTGGGATAAGGGTGCCAGGCCAGGTGTTATTAAAGCTGTTATTAAAGCTACGCGCAAGGGGAGTGCCCAGCCCAGCGCCAGAAGCAAAAAGGGGATCCAGTGTGGACTAAGAGGACCCTGGTATACCACCTCCAAACCCCGCCCATTCTAGGGCTGCGCCCTTATCTCTCCACATTAGGGTGTATCTGAGGGGGTTACAGCCTCATGGCCACTCCCCACAAGGACAAGGGAAACACTGGCTGATGAGGGCTGTCCCCTTCCGCCCCACTCCGCAGCAGGAGTGGAGGAGACCACAGGAGCGGAGGGATATCGGGAGGAGTCCCACTTACAGAGGCTGGGATTTGGCGGGATGCTCAGGGCCGGGCCAGGGGCGCTATCCAAAGTAAGGGTGTTCGCTTTGGAAGTTATAGTCTGGGCATACCTTCTGCACCAGTTTGTAGTCAAAGCTGAGGAAGGAGACGAAGATACAGATGACTTTGAAGGGCTTGGCACAGAGCCAGGCGGCCTGGCTCTGCGTGTGCTCAGTGAAGCACACCTGCGAAGGGTCGTACAGGCACGGGCGGTGCTTACGAGCTCGGTTTGTCTTCTCATACTCCACGTGGCAATTGAAAGCGCGTGATTCTTTGGCCCCGGGCACTCCCAGAGCGCTGCCTAGCGAACCTGCCAGTGCGCCCCCAAGGGTGCCCCCAAGCCCCGGTCCCGCAGCTGCCGCCATCCCTAAAGGGGGCCCCAGCCCAGGAAGCACCCCCTCCAGGGCCAGTGTAGACTGTAGTGGGTGGGAGGCAGGCCCAGGCAGCCAGACGCCCCCGAACTCCACACGCTTAGAAGGTGGCACAATACTGACACTGAGGTTGCCCAGACTGGAGGAGTTGTGGCGGAAATACACACTGAAGGTACCATTCACATGGTCCACGATCTTGCCGGTCACCAGCAGCGAGAACTTGAGGGTATGCACTCTAAAGTAGAAGTCCCCCCAGCCGAAGATCTTTTTGGCTCGTGTGGCTTTGATGGACGGCTTCCTCTTAGTGCGCTGAGCCGGCAGTGCCCCGGCCACCCCCGCCTGGGTCAGCGCCCCCGTGTGGTTAGCCGGCCAGGCCCAGCTCCAGGCACCGGCCAGCCCCAGGCCATCAGAAGACCTGGACGCCGGGAGCTGTTGGCCAGGGGCACCCCTTCCTGGAGTAGCTGGGCGCAGCTCCAGGTACTGCGGCCTTCCCGACTCTGGTATCTGGGCACTGACGACCTGTGTAGGAACAAAGAGGAGGGAAGAGAGAGATGCTAGRGTGGGCCCTGGCCACCTTGCCTGAGCCCTACCTTGGCAGCCCTTTTCTGCAGCCGCAAGGAGACCACATGGAATCGTGCAGTCCTCCGCGGGTAGTTCAGGAGTAGATGTTGGAATAGATCTGCAGCCCTCAGTTTCCAGTGTCTGTGAGATGACCTGAGAATCCCTGTGTTTCTCCACTGAGCTCTAAAATGAACCCAAATGCCAAATCCAGTGTGGGCATTGGTGTGAGTAGGGAATGGGTCTAGGAGGGCTCCTAAAGTTCCTCACCTGGCCCATGGATGGTTCCAAGTAATGGGCCAGGGAAGAGTTGGAGTGGAGCATGTAAGGCCGTGACCACCTCAACATACAGCATCAAGAAAGAGGTGGGAAGACCTCCCAGCTTCTGCGGAGACTAGAGCCTCAGCCCTGACTGCTCAGCGGGGAAGGGAAGGGCCGCTGAGAACTGGTTGAGCTATGGAGAAGAGTCCCCGTCCGGTGGGTTGAGGCTTGGGGCATAAATGGGCTCCCCTCTCAATTCGGGCTCCCCTCTCAATCCGCAGCGCTCCTGCTGTGGTGGAGGCCGCCTGACCGCCCTTCCCTGRGCTGGGAGAGGACTGGAGGAACTGCCCCCGCCCGCTCACCGTCTCTGAGTCTCAGGTGGCGGCCGATCTGGGAGACAGCGCGGGCGCGAGTACAAGATGGATCGAGAGGCGGGAGCGTCCGGGCCAGGCCCGGGCCATCAATTATCTGGGTGGTGGTGGTGGGGGGGTGGCCGAGAGTGAAGGAGAAGGGGAGAGAGCGAGAGGAAGAAATATGGAGATGCCGCTCCAGCAGGGAGAGCGGGAGGGAGAGGAACCGAGAGCGTGTCAGAGTGTGTCAGTCAGCCTGTGCTAGCCACCACTGTGCTGTTTGGTGTGGCCCTGACTTCGTTCAGGTTCTGGGGGTGGGGGAACAGTACTGTCTGTGTCGGTCTGGGGTGGCTGTGTTCCTGTTAGCCTGAAATGGTGTGTGTCTTTCTACCCAGAGTTGCTCTGGTGTGTCAAACTGATACAGACTGTATATGTATCAGTCTGTGGGGGTTGGTGTGGCTGTGGTGATTCTGTGTGTCTGTATGTCTATGTATATCAGTCTGAGGAGGTTGTGTGTGTCTATGCCTGCTTGTAGTGGATGTACATCAGTTGTGGTGATTTGTGTATATGTGCTTGGATTGGCTGTGTGTCTGTGTGTTGATACCAGTGAGGCTATGTGTGTCAATTTGTAGTAGTAGTCTCTGTGGTGGTTGTGTTGTGTGTCTGGGTTTGTTATATGCCTATCTTTGGTGGTATGGAGGTTGTCACTTTTCCTGTGTGAATTCCTATCATCCTCTGTCCATGTCTAAAGCTCTTTCTAGAGGGGGTGTACCCATAGTGACAGGACAAGTATGGTCTGTGTTCTTGTGTGTGTGTATGTATGTGAATTGTATATGAGGGAGACATACTGGCCTGCAGGCTGAGAGTTTTGGGTACATAAGGAGGCCTGGACAGTGTAGGTGCCCCCTCTGTTTGCACACACCCATGTGTACACAATAGTGTCCGCAGGGGACAGGAATGCAGAGCCAAGCTACTGGGCTAGAATCTCTACCGCCTGGTCCCCTTCCCTGCAGCACTGCGATCCCAGGTTATTAATGCTGCCGCCACCGATCGTCATACATATTTATCGCCCCCCTCCTCCTTCCTCCCATGCAACCCTCCTCCCAGCCCAGGTGAGGGGGGTGGAGGCAGCAAGAATGATTGACTCAGACAGACAAGCTTGAGCTGGCATCTAACACTGGGAGGGTGGGGCTGGGAAAGGCTGGGGGAAGAAGTCTTAGCATACAGGGGCAGGGAGAAGAGACTTCCCAGGGGAAAAGGACCAAAATCCAAGAGGTAGGMTTGAGCCCTGGAAAGGGCATTGGAGGAGGGAGTGGGCAAGCTTCTAGGGAGAAAGTCAAGATGTGTATTATTGAACTCTGACCCCCTAATCTTAACCCTCTGAACCCAACTGCTGCTCTTTCCAGGAAAGTCTAGACATCCAAGTCCCCTCCCCAACACCCCATGCTGTGATTCCAAATGCACCCCAGTACACCCCAGCATGCTTTATGTCCTGCAGACCTGGCCAGGAGTGGTTCAGTCCAGTGACTCCTCAGAGACAGGGACTAGGGGAGGAAATGGGGTTGGACAGGATAAGGAAAGGTGCCAAGAGGTACCCCCACCTCTGATACCAGACAAATTGCTGTCTTTGCTTCTATGATCCTGGCAAATCCCTGGGCTTTGGACACTTGCACCCCCCACACATCAGGGGCTGGAGACAGCCCAGATACAAGGGAAGAGTTGAGGGGAGGCAGCCAAAGCGACCTTGGGTGGGGGTTAGACACGGAGCGCTGGAGAGTCTGTGAGGAAACGAGCCGAGAAATGGGAACATGGAATAAAATAAAATAAAATCCTCCCTCTGGCTTCTTTGATCGYCAGCACTCTCTCCCTCTCTTGCTCTCCCTTTTCCACTATTTTTCATCTCTCTCTCTCCCCACCCTTCTCTCACTCTTTCTGTTTCTTCCTCCACTTTGTCTCTGCCTCTAATTTCTATCTTCCAGGATTCTGTTCCCCCTCCCCGTTTCTGTCTTTAACTGAGGCAGTCTTCTGTCCTTCAGGCTGTAGCAGTGGTGTGTGTGTGTGTGTGTGTGTGTGTGTGTGTGTGTGTGTGTGTAACTAGGTGGTAAAGGAGCTCCTCTTTGCTTAGACCCCTTCTCCCCTTCCTCGACTAGGGGCAGAAGCAGGGTGTTGTCTGAGGTGGGGTCCCCTCGCTGCAGAGCTGGTTTAATTAAGCTAATTGGGCGCGGTGACATTTGCAGAGGGGAGAGGCTAGCACCACTGCCAGCACATGGTGGGGGGGGGAGGTGGGGAGGTGTGTGGTAGCTGGGGGGGGGGGTGCTTCAGCAGGCTTCTCCAGGCCCGAGAGGAGAGGGTAGGAGCCAAGCCAGAGGCGCATTGCCCCCAAGGCAATGAGCCCATGCACCTGAGGGGAGTTAAAGGCATCTCTGGCTACTGAACAAGCTCCACTGGGGGAGAGGGCTCTTTTGGGATGAGATTGCTGGGGCGGGGGATCAGTCTGTCAGCCCCCAGCCGCATTGCAGGGTGCACCTCCCCTGGGCCAGTCGTTTCTCTGCACGGGTCAAGGTTTTCAGGATTTGGCTGGGGGAGGGAACAGTGCCCTGTGAATGAGAAAAGAATGATCCAGGCCTGAAGTGGGGAGGGAGAAAGAGCATACTAAGCCCCTGCTCCTAGAAAGAGGCAAGGGCATCACAATCAGGATGGGGTGAAGTCTGGCTGGGAATCACAGATACAGAAGGGAGTTAGGACAAGAGGTGGGTAGACATGACAGGATGGGGTGAGCACTGAGACAGAGATGGAACAGGAATGACATTGGGGACTAGGAAGGCACAGCAACAGAATTCAGAGACAAGGATGCAACAAGGATAGACATAGGGACAGGGATGCGGAGGAGAACAGAAATAGTGGACAGGCACTGGACTGAGACACATCGGATGTGGATGCAGATGGGGTGTGGCTCAGAGGAATGGAGAAAGGGTACAGAAAAGGATGGTAGCCAAAATGGGGTAGGGATGATAGATGAGGAATGGGCATTGGGGACAGACAGGAATGAGATGGGACTGGGAATGGGGAGATGGTAATGGGGACAGAGTAGGGGGTAGAACAGAAATGGAGAAGGATGGTTATTGARCAGAAACAGGGGTAAGGGTAGATGCAGAGACCTAAGATGGGAATGGAGGAAGCCAGTGAGGACTGGAATGGGAAATAGAGAGCAAGGAAAGTGACTGGAGACATGGACAGAGATAGAAGCTGAGGACAGGTATGAGAGAAGCCAAAGGAAGAGGCAGAAGGCCAGGCAGGATCAGGCTTTGGGAGAGGGGGTGGTGGGGGTGATGGGGTGGAGGCAAAGATACCTTATTCCAGACCCTACTACAGCTAGCTGGGGCGGGGGACTGCGGGTGGGGCGGGCTCTGCCCTTGGGCCGGGTGCCCCTTCCCCCTCAGCCCCGCCTGCCCGCCTGCTCGCGGCCTGCCGCGCAAGGCTCACCGTTATCTGAATTTTGATTTTATTTTATTTTATTTTATTTCCCTGCTTCCTAGAGCCGGCGCGGTCCCCCCGGGAACGGCCGCCCCCCACCCCCCGCCCCGCGCCTCACTTTATTATTGCAATAAATGTGCCTATAAAGGCGCCGGCTCGGGGGCGCGGTGGGGGTGGGGGGGAGCCGCGGAGCGGGGATGTAATTTCCCGAAGCCGGAGCCGGAGGGGGAGTGGGCGGGGTGGAGGTGGAGGAGGGGCAGGCGGGGGAGAGGGGGAGACTTGCCAATTTCCTACGCTCAAGGCCGCACTCCCTGCTCCCCATCCCTGCTCCATAGCTCGCTCCTCAAGGAAGCCCTCCGACTTCCCTGCACCCAAGGGAGGATCCCTCCCCCCATGACAGGACCCCTCTCTGTTACCTTGTTCCCCTCCCGCATGCCTGCCTTGAGTTACAGGGGCTCTGTGTGAAGTTCCCCATCTCCTGGCCAATTACTCCATCTCTAACCTCTGTGAGTGACCCCCCCTCACCTGCTGTTGGCTTTCAGGAATTATTTTACCCTTCCACAATTTTTGACCCCAGTGGCCCCTCTTTGCCTTATTTCTGTCCTTCTTACCTTACCTCTTTGTCAGTCATCTCTTCCTGGATCTCTAGTTCCTCACTCATCCCAACCCATGATCCTCTAAATTCTCCTTCCAGCCGCACCCCTCCCATTCAGGATGTGGGGCTTCCACAGGAGGTTCTGCCCCAGGGAACTGTCACAGCAGCCCCCTCCCCTGTGTCCCTAGCACAGCTGCCACCCCTGATTACCCCCAAATCCCTGCCGGCAGCTCTGGGCCCAAGCCCAGGCTGTGCGTGCCTAAGTGGCCCAGCCAGAGATTAGCTGGGGGGGCTAGAGGAGGGTAAGGAGATGGGAGGTGGTGGCTGGACCAGGGGCTGTGGCCAGCCAGCTCTGAAAGACTGGCTTTGGGGCCTAATCCTTCCCTGAGGCAGGATAGAGCTGAAAGGTCCCACAGGGTCCCTCCCTTGCCCTCCCCCAGCTAATTAGTAATTAGTGATTAGTGATTAGTGACTATTGATCGCCTGCTGCTTCTCCCAGTAGGCAGCTGCTTTGGCAAAAGTGGGGGAATCAGAGATAGAGAGGGAAAGGAGTCGGACACTATATTAGAAAGATCCTGAAGCAGCCCTGGCAGTAAGGCAATGGAAGCCGGAAGCAGTAGAAGCCAGAAGTCCCAGACCCTGAGAGACYAGGATCCTAGAGCAGGAAGGAAGGAGACAGAGAACTCCTGAAGAAAGGACTAGTGAAGAAGAGGGCTGGTAGTGCTTGATGGTTAGGGATTTCCAAAGAGCTACTGTGAAAACTGTCCCCCGGAGCCTCTCATCCAGTGTCAACCTCACCTTTCCCCACTCCCAGTGCTGACACTGAGACATCCCTGAAGGCATACCCACACATAAATCACATTCACATATATGTACACATCTGCAGCTTACAACCCCATACCTATATTCAACTGCACTCAAAACAAACACGCAGATGCACTCAAAAACCCCAGATTCATATACAGATRACATATGTGCCCCAGCATGAAATGCACCAAAGTCCCTGGGGCCTACACATGTGCACACACTCTATTCACCAATACACATAAGCACATAGGCAGGTATTTAGACACGTAGACACTTCTCTGCACACATTTGTCCATCACAATTATACATATTCACACACTCACAGTGTGTACACACACACACACACACACACACACACACACACACCAAGCATAAAACAGATCCTCACATTCACACAAACTGGACTAAATGGCAGATATCTCTCTCCCTCTGACTTCAACACAGAGGCCCCACAGCTGCAGCTCTCACATAGATAGATCCCATCGCTCATATCCTCACTCTCACTCTCCCTCAAGTCTCCACCAGATGTTTCATTCCCCTTCAGGGGGCGAAGAAAATTAAACCAGATCTGTCCACTGGGGAGTTTATTTGATGGGGAGAATGAAGAGGAGAAGGGAGAAGGTAGAAATGAGAGGCAGGGCAGTGTCATCCCTACCACCTCTTGACCCYGTGCCTTCACACAAGGGTGGTGGGGGGCCAGACACCCTTCTGTAGACCTCTAATTTAGTGTTGGGCAGCAAATCCAAAAGAGTCTTCCACCAGTGGAAGCGGTTTTCATGGAGGGGGTTCCTCAAGGTCACCAGGTGGGTCTGGGAGAATTAGAGAGCTCTATTGRTAGCTTCACTGGAGTAGCCCCTATCTTGCTGGAGTTGCTGAGGGCAACTGGGCTGGGCAGGTGGGGGTTCAAGTGTTGGGGGAGAACCCTTTCCAGACTCCATATGGACTGGGAGTTGGGGCTTAGGGAGTGAGGGTTTAGAGAGCAACCTGCTTGCCCCTAAACCAGGTAGGTCACCCGTTGAGGTGCAGGAAACAGGGAAGCCATGACTAGGGAGGCTAATGAAGGAGAGAGCAAGGGCCTAGGCTCCCTTTGTGGGACACACACCTGGGCACAGATGGCTGTACTGTGAAGCAGGCACTTGCACTCATCCATGCAACACCAACATCACTACCCTGACACTTCAGCATACACATACACCCTGGGCCTCAGGGCTAAACACCCAAGCCTGGCTTCCCTGGACACATGCAGGCATACAGCCCACACGTTGACCCACACATGCACACTGTGTACATGAGATGAAGCTTCAAAGTAGAGAGGGAGGCAGGATTCTGAGTCCCCTTGGCTTCTGGGTCCTTTTCCGGGAACCTTGGGGAAAGAGGCAGCAGAGAGGCATGGGGGCAGGGAGGAGAGAGTCCCTGAGACAGCAGCCCCCATCGCGGGTCGAGAGAGGGGGGTGTGTCTGTGAGGCTATACAGGGGAGATGGTGTCTCCGCGGGAAATGCTATGGGAGATTGTAGCCAAGTTCAGCCGTGTCCGTGTGGGTCCGTGTATGAGCGTGTGCCCCGGCCGTGTATGCTCCCAACACAGCGCCTACCTGGCATTGTGACAAGTGCAGAGAAGAGAAATGGGAAGGCGGGGGTGGAGGGGTGGAAGGACCTACAGACAGTGAGAAAGGCGAGCGAGGTTGGCGCGGAAAGACGGCAAGGCTGACACCWGGCTGGCTTGTCTGTCTGTCTCGCACTCCCGCTCTGTCTGGCGCACTCGCGGGTCGCGCTTCGTCCCCTCCCCCGCCGCGCCTGAAGCCGGATCCGGGTAGGGCCTCCACCCGTACCCCCCGCCCCAACCCTCACCCAACTTGCGCTGGGAGAGTGCCAGTCCTGAARCGAGCAGTCTGTCTGTCCGCTTCGCCCACGCCGCGCAAAGTTGGGACGCTCGGAGCTGGGGGCGGGGCGGGCGCACAGATCCTCTAGTACTCTGGGACCTTCGCGTCCAGGACCCCCAGCGCTCGCGCCTCAGCCCCGCAGCCCTTACCTTCCTAAGAAGCCAAGGGCCAAAGAGCAAGAGGAGCCATTCCGCGAGCAGTCGCATCTTCCCGGGCGGCCGAGCTGGGCGGTCAGGGCGGGTCCCAGGGAGAGCCGGACARGGCGCGGGGCTCCGGGCTGCTGGGCGGCGGGGTGGCTGCCGAAGCGGCGGGAGCGGGCGGCGCGGCCCGCGGACTGAACGAGAGGAGCGGAGCGCGGCGCTGGGGGCGGGGCGCGGGCGGGGGAGAAAGTTGGGTCTGACTCGGGCGGGCGGGGGGGCGGGGCTCCGCGGYGCTCCAATCCCGGCCGCGCCCCGCGCGCCCCCTCCCGCCCAGCTGGGGGCACCGAAGGTGACTTTCACCCCGACACGCCCCAGACACGCCCCTGGTCCAGGTGCGAAGCGGAGAGGGTTGAGGGGCTCAGGGGCAGCGCCCTCGAGATGCCGGGTCTGTGCACCGACGAGGAATAGGAAAGGGCGTGGGGCTCGAGGCTTTGGGACTGTTCGTGTAAAGGGGGCACCGCGGAGCAGGAATCTGGCGAGGTTCAGCGATGCTGCAGGACCAGGGCCCCTTGATGTCCCGGGGCCCTTCCATGCCCTGGGCCAAGGTGGGTCCCAGGGCAGGAACCGGGCAGGGGCCAGGAGCAGGGCAGGGGCCAGGAGCAGGGCAGGGGCCAGGGTGAGGGCGGGTGGGGCCTCAGGCGGCTGCCGTGGCTCTGCGCTGACGGGGATGGATGGGCGCCCCGCGGCTCATTCGGCCTGGAGATGAGAATCATTGATCACGGACGGAAACCCCATCACGTCTGTCAATAGGGCTGACAAACGGCGCCCGCCGTCCCCCACCTCCGCCCTAAGGCACCTCTGCAGTCTCAGGACCCCTAGGCTCTACTGGCCCATTCACCTTTGTCCCTAGACCCCCACCCACTCTGACCTCTGCACCTTACAGCGCCCCACTGCATAGGCGCTGCATGGGAAGTCCAGCTCAATGCCGCCTGCCCAGAGTCTTGATGTAGCCTATCCCTTCCCTTCCACTGTCCCATCTTCCACCACCACCTCTTCTTGATCCTTGTCCCCTTCCCTGTCTGTTTCTGTCCTTGTCTCTGTCCCCAGCATCTGTCTCTGTTCTCATTCTCTCGGCTGTTTCTTCATCAGTGCCCTCCTCCCTCTAGTCTCTGTCTTCCCTGCCCAGGGAATCTTCAGCTGTCAGCTGTTGCTATGCACTGAGGCTGAGGTTGTGGTATGACCAACCCTAGACAGTGAGAGATGGGGACAAGCAAAGAAATAGAGACAGGTCCATGCCCTGAGACCTGAGCRCACACAACCTCCAGGCATGCTACAGATGCGTTGGTATGGCCTACCACAAGGTAGAGGTGAACACAGACATGTGGAACAAAATATATTCACACAGAAACTAGCACTCAGAGAGGGATGCACACCAACACACAGTGGATACATTTGATTCACACACACACACAGGAGCTCACAGTAACAGAGACAGACAAATGCAAGCTTGGGCCAAGAGATGAGCACACCCAACCAGGTCCTCAGMACTTCTCCACCTTGCCTTGGCAGAGAGGCAAATATCCACAAAGATGGACGTACACACAGGTGTACACTGGCACTGGCAGTCCAAAGGACAAGCCCAGGCATATGCAAAGAAACAGACAGATATGGGATGTGACAGACATAAAAAAAAAAAAAAAGAGGGAAAAGACAAGGATGGCGAGAGGATGAAGCAGAAGTAGTAACACTCAGGGAAACAGAAGCCAGGAAGCAGGGACTTGGGTACAGACAGAGCAGAGAAGTGAGGAAGGAAGGGACAGAGGTGTTGAGAGGCATAAGGTCAGATGGCCCCAACCAGAATTTTGGGTCCCAGTACCAAGTTCTGGGGCTGCTTCAGCAGTGGGCACACCCAAGTCTAGCCCATCACCAAGGTCCTGAACTTTGGGAGGCACAATCCATCCCATTATCCTCCTTTTGCTAGCCTCAAGTCACCTGATTTCTCTGTGGTTACACACATATGTATATGCATACAGGTACATGACTGGGCTTGCACCCGCGCGCGTGTGTGCGTGTGCACACACACACACACACACACACCCACACTCACTCTCACTCACTACTCCTTGTCTCTGGGTCTTTGCCTGTGTCCCTATATCTTCCCATCTCTGAATCTATATCAGTCTGTATTAGCCTCTGTCCCTGGCTCTGCGCGTCTCTGTTCTGTCTTGTAGGCTCCTCCCACCTTGCTGGATGGGGAGTTTGGGAGGTTCACTCTTGATGGATCTTCTCTTAGCCAGTCTTGGCCAGCAAAGGGAGGATGATTACCAGAGGGGTGTGCTTTCTAAGCTGCAGCTGGGAGCCCTTCTCCCTATGCCCAGGATTTTTAGGCGACAAGCAGAGAATCAGTGGCTCCCGCGGGGGCGCCAGATGCACGACTGGCAGAGGGAGGGGTGAGCGSGTGGGGCTGGTGAGCCGGCAGGCGYTGGGAGAGAGAGAGGGGAGCTGGCTGGCAGAGGATGGAGGGGTGTATGGCAAAATAGCCCGGGGCGGGGAAGTGAGAGGCTGGCCTGGGTTCCCCACAGGTGCATAATTAAGTGTGTTGAGGAGAGGGCTGTGCTAGGTTCCAGGATAAACAGCGCCGCGGGAGTTCTAATGCCACCTGGTGGCCATATAGGGACACAAGTCTCTCAGTAATTAATAAGGACACCTCTTTTTCCCAGGAGGTTTGCTCCCTCCAGGACCCTAGGTGTCCAGGAAGGTGGGGGTGGGGAAGTGGATCTCAGAGTTGGCTTGGAGGATGAGATTGCAAATGGGAATTTCAGGACTGAGAAGGAAGGGATGGGTTCTTGTTTCTGAAGGTGCTTAAACCCAGAAGCTTTACCAAGGAAGGAGAAAGCCAGGGAGGCATATCCTGGAGAAGTTGAACCAGTAAGGGAATGAAAGGCAATATTCTCCCTTTGGAAGCTGGATAAGAGATCATCAGGCATTTGCAGCCACTCTTCTGAGGTCATACTTGCTGTTGTTGGGGAGTGGGGCTCTAATCCTCTCTCAGTCCTGGGGTGTGTGAAGCTGTGTGACCTTCTCCAAGAGGCTCCCCTCTTTGAGCAAGTACAACTTAAATTGTCTCTGTCAATTTCTAGAATGTCTGAAATGGTTGGTGAGCTGGATCTGTTGAAGGATGATGGGCCTGGCAAACTGGTGTGTCCAGCTCTCCTTCAGTCCTTCCCACTTAAATCCAGGGTTCTACTCTTGGCATCTGATCAGTCTCTATAAAGTCAGATGTCAATACTTCGAGAGCAAATGTGGGCAGAGAACGCCACAGAGGACCATCTTGAAGGCCTAGAAAGCCTTCACAACCCAATGTATTCATTCCTTCCAGTGGGATTTTTTACTGTGGTTGATAATATGGGGCAGGAGGGGTGGTGGTATCCAAAGGAAGTGGTAATACAGAGTTAGTGTCCTAGAGCCAGAGGGCACACAAGATTCAGAGCAGTGAAGTCACTGGCTCAAAGTCACATATCCAGGAGAAAAAGGTCCTTCCTGCCAAGTCCAGTACCACCCCCTTTCCCTGCTATAGCAAGATGGAGAAGGAAGGGGCTCCAGGAGAAGGGAACTGAGAGCAGGACACTCAAGCCTGCCTTCAGTAAGATCTCGGCTCCCTCTGGTGGCTGAAGCCCAAAAGCGCAGCCCAGCCCATAATCACATTCGCAGGCAGACACAAGCAGCTTCTCTTTCTCTCTCTCTCTCTTTTTTTTCTTTTTTTTTTTTTACAATTTTATTTATAACAATATCTGTGTTATTTAGTTGTAAAGGAATTCAGCAAAAATTATTAAAACGTTCATGTCCCCAAAACGGGGCTGCCCACTTGCCCTTCCTTGGTGTGCCCCATTTCCTCATCCCCAGGGGAAGGGAGGTTGGGGGTCTGTTACCAATGAAGGTTTCCAGCCCTGGGAGCCATTGTGAGGGCACTAGAGTGGGGGCCTGTCTGGGAGGTTATTGAGCATGGTCATCTCTGAGGTGCCCGTAAGAGTAGGGGCCAGGTCTTGGGGCATCCTTCCCCAAGAACTAAAAAACTCCATTCTTCCCTTCCTACCTCAGCCAGAGACAAATCTTCCAGACAGGGGCAGCAGAGAACTCTACCTCCCCAGAATTAGCCCCCAGGGACTTGGGGAAGGGAGAACTGGAGGGGGAAAGAGTAGGACCTTGACAAAGTGTCTTGTGGGGGGCTGCACCACAAGCTCTCCCAGGGGGGTACATTTTGGTGGGAAAGTAGGAGGTGGGCTCCCTCATACTTGCAGGAGCCCCCAGAGCCCTCCCTGCCCCCACAAGGTAGCATGGGGGGTACTGAGGAGCAGGCAGGAAGGAGGAGAATGGAAAGAGATAATACTGTGCTCGCTTGCTCACTCACATATAAAAAGTAATTCCTTCATTTTTACATTTATACATCCGGCAGGGCCGGGGAAGGGCTAGCTGGGGAGGGGGCTCAATGAAGGACTTCTCTGGCAGGGGCTCTCTGGGGGAAGTCCAATGGAGCAGGGTTCTATGCCAAGGGGTCCCCTATCTCGTCCTCAGGGCCACGGCCCAGGAGTTCTCGCTTCTCGTCCGTGCTGGCCAGGGAGTGACGGCTGCCGTGGCCCCCCATGTAGAGTGTAGCATACACGGGGTTGGTGAAGTTGGTGGGCTGTAAAGCAACAGAGGGTTCAGGTGGGACTCAAGGGCTGGGCTCTGTGGCCCAGGTACCCCACACCCCACCTCTGACCCATCATCCAACCTGACACTCTAAATCACCCTACCCATAGCCTCTTACCCATAGCCTCTTAGCCCTACCCTGGAAGCCCTCCCAATCTCTCCTCCAGCCCACCTTGTCAGGGTCCAGGGCAAAGTCAGCATCCAGCAGGCCACCAACATCATCAGGTTCTCCTCCTTCGTACATCTTGTATGTAGGGTTCCCAATCTCCACGTTCATGGCTCCGTTCGTCATCCGCTGGTGCTGGAAGCCCTTAGCCCTGGGGAGAGGCATGAGTCTAAGGAGGCAGAGATTCTGGTGGGGGGGTGTATGGGGGGTCACACTGGGTATCAAAATAATGTC